ACATGGCACCTTCTCTAGACGCGCGTCAGGACATTGTTGTGGTTGAGGTCCCGAAGCTTGGGAAAGAAGCTGCACAGAAGGCCATAAAAGAATGGGGTCAGCCGAAATCAAAGATCACCCACCTCGTTTTCTGCACCACCAGCGGCGTCGATATGCCCGGCTGCGACTACCAGTTGACCAAGCTCCTCGGCCTCCGCCCCTCCGTCAAGCGTTTCATGATGTACCAGCAGGGCTGCTTCGCCGGCGGCACTGTACTCCGCATGGCCAAGGATCTGGCAGAGAACAACGCCGGCGCTAGGGTTTTGGTTGTTTGCTCTGAAATCACCGCCGTCACTTTCCGGGGACCCAACGGCAGCCACCTCGACAGCCTCGTCGGGCAGGCTCTATTCGGAGACGGCGCAGCAGCCGTCATCGTCGGCTCCGACCCGGTGGTCGGAGTTGAACGGCCGCTGTTCCAGCTCGTCTCGGCGGCGCAGACGCTATTGCCGGACAGCCACGGCGCCATCGACGGTCACCTCCGGGAAGTGGGTTTAACTTTCCACCTACTGAAAGATGTCCCCGGCCTGATTTCGAAGCACATCGGAAAAAGCTTGAAGGAGGCGTTTGATCCTTTGGGAATCTCCGACTGGAACTCCATTTTCTGGATAGCTCACCCCGGCGGTCCGGCGATTCTTGACCAGGTGGAGTCAACTCTAGCACTCAAGCCGGAGAAACTCCGGTCGACAAGGCACGTGCTGAGCGAGTACGGGAACATGTCGAGCGCGTGCGTGCTATTCATACTGGACGAAATGAGGAAGTCATCCGCCAAGGAGGGGATGAGCACCACCGGAGAAGGGCTGAACTGGGGTGTGCTTTTCGGGTTCGGGCCGGGCCTGACGGTGGAGACGGTGGTTCTGCACAGCGTCGCTATCAACTGAGAAGCCCTGCCAGTCAAGTTAATTAATGTGGGAGTGTGACTTTTATGGAACTTTTTTAATCTTTTTTAATTTGTGTGCCCTTTTTTTTTTTTTTTTTTTTTTTAATTTGTGTGTTTTGAATTATTTTCTCATATGTTTGGATGTTATTTATTTAGTTTTCTTATATATGGTAAATAAAGGAATTCTCATTTTGAGGAAACACACTATTTTAATTGAATAATTAACCACTAAGTACACATACGTAGGGGTGAATTTTTTTTTACCAAATTGCCCTATCAATCTGTTGTCCTACTGAACTCTACCGAAGAAATATTTCTACCGAATTACTACTGTACTCTACCGAAATATTTTGGTAGGGAAACGACACTCAATATTACTAAAACGGTATTACCCTACCGTACCGAAATATTATTAATAAATAAAAAATTTATTTTAATAATTAATTTATTATATATAAAAAGTGAACATTGTATTCTAACTAACTACTATTAGTTAAAATTAAGGGTAAATAGCATTAAACCACCTGAACTTTTTAAGTTTTTGCGGATCACCTCCTGAACAATTTTTTTTTGCACGAGTTCACCTGTACTCAATTAATTGTGCCACTTTGCCCTTTTTTGCCCGTTTCCAGGTCAAAATGACCGGTTCTGAACCCATGTGCACTGCACATGCGAAATCCAAGGCTATTTTTGTCTTTTCCATTTAAAAATCTCTAACTCCTTTAATTTTTTCCCATTTCTCTCTTATCTCCATTATTTCCCTCTTCAATTAGCTAGAAATGAATTCCCTCATTGGCAAAATATTTTCATTTTCGACCATTTCAAATTACGTTGTCGGAAAAAAGAACGATGTGGAGCCGTCGTATTTGCAGATAATTACAAATACGGGTCTCCACAAAATCGGACCATCTTCAAGGCCTAAATGGCCTATCTTTTGGGGAATTATCCGGCATCCAAAAACTGATAGAAAACCAGGCATAACATATACTACATTGCCGAGCACGGGGGTTTCGTGAACCCAAATGCCCATCAATGGATGAATAGTCATCAAGAATCGACAGAGGGCCTTGTAAGAAGAAACTCCCTCTCTCCATTCAACGAGGTTGCTAAAAGGGAGTAGTATTCCTAATTTATTACATTGGGCAAGCCATACTTCGTCTGAAGACAGAACAGAGTTGAGACCTGGACAGCTGATACCAAGACTACACACATCCCTTGGAGAGAGGGAACTCGTAATAACAGGAAATATATCATCAGGCAAAGCCAAAAGCAAGCTTGATCCACAGATATCAGACGGCATAATCGACTACTTAGTTGAAAATAAACGAATTCTCTCTCTCTCTCTCTCTCTCTCTCTCTCTCTCTCTCTCTCTCTCTCTCTCTCTCTCTTCCTTTTTATTGTTCTTTATTGATTAGGTAAAGAGATTCAATCTTACCAAAAAAAAAACAGTTATTTTATAGGGTGGTGAAAGTTCACAAAATCAATGAACGAAACAAACTATACCTTATCTCGAATCAATTATTGCACTGAATATTGAAAATGGTATAATTCAGTTTAAGCACCAATTCTACATTCAAGAATAAAAAACAAAATAGAAAACTCAAATCAAATATTCTCAAATTAAAGAGAAACAATTGACAGGAATTCAAGATTTAAACTTACACCCTAGAACTGTATAGCAAAACTGATGACAACCTTGAATGAGAGACAGTGATAATAATATAGGGATTGACTTTGTTATTTGACCCTAGAACTTGACGTCATGATCTGCAGAAGAAGTAATCGATTTATATTGTGGCCAATAGTAAGCAAGATCATGGACGGGCATTTCTTTGGCCCGATTAACAACGGGCTCTCTAATAAAACCGTCCGGGTAATTTGAAATGGTCGAAAATGAAAATATTTTGCGAATGAGCGAATTCATTTCTAGCTAATTGAAGAGGGAAAATAGTGGAGATAAGAGAGAAATGGGAAAAAAATTAAAGGAGTTAGAGATTTTTAAATGGAAAAGACAAAAATAGCCTTGGATTTCGCATGTGCAGCGCACATGGGTTCAGAACCGGTCATTTTGACCTGGAAACGGGCAAAAATGGCAAAGTGGCACAATTAATTGAGTACAGGTGAACTCGTGCAAAAAAAAATGTTCAGGAGGTGATCCGCAAAAACTTAAAAAGTTCAGGTGGTTTAATGCTATTTACTCTAAAATTAATTATACTCTTTAGTTTTAAAAAAAAAAAAAAATTATACTCTTTAAGTATGTCAAAAATATTTTAAATTGCTTTCATTAATGATGATATAATTGATGTTAAAAATTTTTATGTTATAAATATATTTGAAATACTTATATCATAAATATTAGTTTTGAACCGTTTAAACATGTATATACCTTGAATTGCTTTGAAAAGGGGATATTCAATTTATATTTAAATAGTAGTCAACATAAATTGGTAATTACCATTACCATGCCCTACCGTACCGATTTTTTGGTCTACCAATTTCAGTATACCATTTTTTTTTGGTAGGGCAATGGTAATCGATTTCATAATACCGAAATTTCGGTAATAGTAGTGATTCGACGAGTTCCACCCCTACACATACGTATGAGCGAGTGTGACGGATATGTGTAGATTTTACGCTTAAAAGATATATACCCAGTGTAAATAGCCAGATGCAACATCGAATGATCCCGTATTTTTTTTTATTCATTTGATTCTCTCTTAAACTGGACATAATATTCGGGGCATATATATATATATATATATATATATATATATATATATATATATATATATATATATATATATATATATATATATATATATATATATATATTGTAGAGCGAATGGCAAAAAGGCACATCACATGGGACTTAAATGCATTTTGGTCCACAAAAAAAACAGTCTCTCAATTAAACCAATCCCCATGTCTTTAATCTAAAATACCTTCAATAATATAATTCTTATCAATTCCACACATTATGCTCTAACTTCCTTAATATTACACATTGACCCCGAATTTAAACAAATATATCACATTAACCCCAAAACTTTTTTTTTCAGAAAATAATTTTTTTTCTGAAATATTTTTTTCCCGGCCAGTTTCCGGCGTTGACCGCCGGTCTCCGGCGTTGACTTTTATTTTTTATTTTTTTGAATTTTTTTTTTCTTGAAAAAAAAATATTTTAATTAATATTATTGTTTTGGCTACTAAATTACTGTCTCAGACAGTAATATTACTGTTTGGGACAGTAATATTATGAATATTATTTTCCCGAACAGTAATATTATTAATATTATTGTCTAAGACAGTTAATTACTGTTGGAGACAGTAATTTAGCATCCAAGGCAGTAATATTAATTAAAATATTTTTTTTAAAGAAAAAAAATTAAAAAAAAAAAGTCAATTAACATTTAAATTACTGTCTCAGACAGTTAAATAACTGTTGGAGACAGTAATTTAGCAACGAATACAGTAATATTAATTAAAAATATTTTTTTAAGAATAAAAAAGTCAGTTAACAGTTAAATTACTGTCTCCAACAGTTAAATAACTGCTGGAGACAGTAATTTAGCAACGAATACAGTAATATTAATTAAAAATATTTTTGAAGAAAAAAAAAAGTCAATTAACAGTTAAATTACTGTCTTCGAAAGTTAAATAACTGCTGGAGACAGTAATTTAGCAGCCAAGACAGTAATATTAATTAAAATATTTTTTTAAGAAAAAACAAAATTATAAAAAAAAAAAGGCAACGCCGGAGACCCGGCGGTCAACAGCAGTTGACCGGCCGGAAAAAAATTTCAGGAATAAAAAAAGGTTTTAAAAAAAAAAAAAAAAGTCAACGCCGGAGACAGCTGGTCAACGCCGGCGACCGGCGGTCTCCGGTGGTGGCGGGTCAAAATTGGGGTCAAAATTAAAATTAGGGTTAAAATTGGTTAGTTGATGAAATTGGGCTAAATTGGGGTGTAAATCATGAAATTGGAGTTGAATTGAGTTTCAATGAATTTGGGGAATTTTAGTATATATAAAAGGATTTTCCTTATTTGCAAATAAGTTTGAATGGGCTGGATTTATTTGAAAGACAAAAAAGTTGAATGCCCCTATTTTAATTAAGTGCCCTTGTCATGGGCCTATTTGTCATTACTCCTATTTTGTATGGAGCATATCGAATTCGGTGTCTGCTAACTCTGATCCTTAATTCTGGAAGTACTATTATCAATTAATATTAGTAAGTATATATTTCTTGATTCTTTGAATGTACGATTTCTTTTTTTCTTTTTTTTTTTAGAAAGTACCAATATTGATTACAAGACAACACTTGACATGTGAAAAAGTTCATATGGATAACAACCTAGTACCTACCTAGTTGAATGTAACCATAATTTTGGAAATGTACATTAACATACGACGTGGCCAAACATCTATCTCTCAGACTAACTACCACTTTCTTTTTCGCTTTGTATAAGGTGATCGTGTCGTTTTGTACGTGTTCAAGTTTTCTTTTATAAAAAAAACTTTTTAGTTCGCGAGAGAAGACATTCGACGAAGAGCTTCTCAGCGGACTTAGGGTTTTTCGAGATAGATATCGAAACAATGTGTGCACTTATATTATTTGTTGTATTGCATGATATATACTCGAACACCTTCCTCGATCCTCAGAAAACTGTTATGTTAACCTGAAATCCTTGGGTTTGAGTCATGGGGAGACACTCCAACGCTCAAGTTGGTAGGGGAACGTGTGTTTCACACTAGTAGAAAAATTGTTTATTACTACAAATTTGTTTGCTACGGTGAAAGACCGTAAGATACTTTTTACTACGGAACAATTTTGAAGTCGTAATAAACACTAAGATTTACCGTCGCAAAAAAGTATTTGATACGACCATTTACCGTAGAAAAATTTTAACACGCCTGGCCCGTATATGCTACGGGGTAAATTCATAGCAAATGCGTAACAAAAGCCTTTTTACTACGAATTTGATACCTTTTGCTACGTTTAATGATTGTAGTAAAAAGTCATTTTTCTACCTGTGTCACTCATTAAACGTGTGCTTTGATGTAAAATAGATCGTACCTTTTTGTGCAGAATAATATTGTATTTAATATTTATAGATGATACATGTACGTCTCCTAATGCCAATAGAATCTTCGAGATTTGGAGTCAATTATACATAATAGAATTGAATTATGGTCCACTAAAGGACTTCAACCACAAATATTTATACGAGCCCACTAGATTGTCAAATCGACCCTATCATAAGAATAATTTACGAGGACGAAATTCAAAACAAACTAAAAATCTCATATATTCATTTCTTTTGGGACCAATTCGAATTTTATTTTAGTTTAGTATATATTTTACGTAGTAAACTAGAATGACTAGTTAGCCCACTGTCCATCAAATTTAACTTACATAGTCCAGTCCATTTCTATTTAGCCCAATACAAAAAAATAATAGAATATATATTTGCCTAGCTAGTTTATCATTTCGTCTTTTCCGACTAAACATCATAAAATCCCCGTGTTAAGAAAACTTGTGCTAAATCTTCCTGTATTTTTGTTTTTTTGCGTAAATCCCTTTGTGTTTTATTTTACTTTGCACTAAATTTCAATCAATCACTTAAGGTCCGTTTGATTGCCAAAGATATGCCATGATTAACTAAATAGTTGGACTTAATTTGATGTTTGGTATCCTCAATAAATTGTCGGGTCGACCCGTCAAAATCATATAATCATGACTTATCTTGCCTTATCTTGGTTTATCTTACCTTCTAATGAGTTTTTTTTTTGGACATTTCAAGCTCCAAGAAAATAATTGAGTTTCATTAAATTATTTAATCTTATCTTGCCAACAAAACGGGACCTTAAAGTATTCAAGTATAAAATAATACGCGTGCCTTAAAATGATTAAATAGTATAATCTCTCTATTATTAGAGAAACCAACTCCTATTTGAACCACGAAGGCACTGCCCTGAGTGGTAGACTTCTTCGACCCTATATTCAGTGGGTCTTCTGCTGCCATGTGTTATTTTTTGTATTTTATAATATATTCTCCCGTTAGGTTTATCTATAGGGGTTTTAGAAGAATAAAACAATGACACATGGCAGCAGAAGACCCACCCGATATAGAGCCGAAGGAACCTGGTATTGGGTTCCACAAGGGCCAGTAATAAGGGTTAGATTCTCACTAGATTTAGCTGTGAAGCCATTTATAAGGTCAATTCATTTATTTATATTAAAAAAAAAATCTAATTCGAATTAGAGGTATTTTATGGGATTAGAGAGCCATTAACTTAATTTTTGAAACAACTAACTATTAATTAGTTTGGTGTTATAGCATACATACTCTATCGGATTAAATTCTAAGCGGATCAGCCGATATTTAATATAAATCGGATTCCACTAATTTTTTGACATGTGACACTCTTAAAATATCCTATGACATCCGATTTTCCTATTAAAACAAACCATTCGGTCTAAATTTGCACCCATACTCTATATATATCATCTTCATTAGGGTTTAAATTCTAAACGGACGATTCGTTGGAAGCAAAAAATCAGATCCCATTAGTTAAACGACACGTGTACAGTTGAAACCCTAAAGACTGAATCCCCCTCTCTCTCTTTCTATATATACAAGTAATTTAGATAGGCATTTCAATTAGTTTTCTCTCTTTTCTTCTCTTTCCTTCTATTTTTTATCATAACCCACAACAAGCAGTCATGTTCAGTGGCGTATCTAGTGTGGTCCAAGGGTGTGCTACTGCACACCCTTGATTTTAAAAAAAAATTATTTCGTACATATTTATCAGTATATACCTGCAAATGTAAAACCTTGTCATTGCAATGCTGTAGCTTAACTGGTCAAGTGCCCTATAGTATTCGTCTGAGGTTCAGAGTTCGAAACCTGAGAGTCTCTATTTAAAAAAAATCTCCTAATATAACATATATTTTGCTACTTGTAACTTTAATTTATTTACCATTTCTTTAATATTAAATATAATATAAATTATTCCAAAATTCTAAATATTGAATATATATATGTCTTATTTCAATTTTTTTTCTATATTTACAACTATGTGGGTTTTTTTTTTTTCTTTTTGAAAATTCAAAATCTACTAATGAAACGTACATTTTGTCACTTGCAACTATAATATGTTTACCACTCGTTTAATATTTTCACCAATTTTATATATAAATATTTCCTAAATTTGCCCAAAAATGGTAAAATAATCACTTTAAATTTAAAAATTTTAAAGATTTTTTATTATTTAATGTGTATAGTATTCAAAAAAAAAAAAATCGGGGGCGCAGCCCCCGAACCCCCGTAAACTATTAGCCAATCATTATATTTTTTACTATATTTAATTTCGAACACCCTTGGCAAAAATCCTGGATTCGCCACTGGTCATGTTGTGCCATTATACCAAAGCTTTATTATCACCACTAATAGCCAGTCGTTGTTATAACAAAAAAAATATGTTTTCCATCATCATCAACCCGAAAACGACAAGTACTATATTGTCGTTCTAAAATGACGGCCGCCGTGGAGGAGATCCATGTTTTTTATTATTATTATTATTATTATTATTATTATTATTATTTTCCAGCCTATTTTTTCTAATAAAAAATATGCTTCATTTATTTAATGATGGACAATTAAGTTTTTATAGTTTTTTTAAATGAGTTTGTATTATTAAATCCGTATAAATGTTGATGTTGTAATTATCATGTATTAAACTAATCATCATTTTTATTTGAAATGCTATACCGTGCATCGCACGGGGAAAAATGCTAGTTATTTATACTAAAAGAAAACGAAAAAACCCTAATCAAACTAGGAAAACGACAAAATTACCAAAAAAGGCAAAAAAACAAAAAACGAAATAACTCCTTAAAACTAGTAGAATACCGAAAATTGGAAACATCCCAACTTGCGGATTTCAAATCCGAATTTTCTAGAATTAATTATGAATTATTTAAAATTTTCCTAAAATAGCAAAAACGTCGTTATGAAGGCCTAAACCACCTCGAAACGCCAAAATCCAGCGCATATCACAGCGCATGTGTTTAGCTCCCCTCGTCGTTCCGGTTCGGAAAAACTTGGCCCCACACAATTCCACCTCCGCCATCTCTGCATCAAAAGCATGTCATTAAATGACAAATTTACCCTTCTTAAACATTCCATTTTGCTAAAAACAATCCTACTATATGCAAAAGTTGCTTTTTTTAGAAGGTGAAGTGCTATTTGGCCTATATATATAAATATAAATATATTACATGATAGTTTAATTTGCAGTAAATTTGTTGTTCAAGGAAATGCAAATTACAAAATAATACGCATGCAGGCGAGAAATCAACGATCAAGAAACGGTACACGCACTTGACCGAAGAAATCTTGAAAGAGAATCCAAACATGTGCGCCTTCACGGCGCCGTCGCTGGCCGCCCGGCAGGAAATTACGGCGGCGGAGGTGCCGAGGCTCGGCAGAACAACTCCGGCGCAAGAGTCCTGGTCGTCTGCTCCGAAATGACGGCCATGTCGTTCCGCGGCCCGAGCGGGACCCACATGGCCACCCTAGTGGAGCAGTCCCTGTTCGCCGACGGCGCCGCCGCCGTTGTGGTGGGCTCCGACGCGGCGGCTGGAGTGGAGCGGCCGCTTTTCCAGATTATCTCGATCGCACAGACACTATTGCCGGAGAGCGAGGGTTGCATCCAGGGCCACCTCACCGATTGCGGGATGATGGTCGAGCTCGAGAAAGATGTACCGAAACTAATATCGAAATACATCGGCGCGAGTTTGAGTGAGGCGTTTGATCCTTTGGGTATTTCGGATTGGAACTCTATTTTCTGGATAGTGCATCCGGGCGGCCGGGCGATTCTTGATGACGTGGAGGCTGAGCTGGCGCTGAGGCCCGAAAAACTGCGAAAGTCGAGGCGTGTGTTGAGCGAGTACGGGAATATGTCGAGTGCTTGCGTACTGTTTATAATGGATGAGATGAGGAAGTCCTCCGCCGAGGAGGGGCTGAGCTCCACCGGAGAAGGGTTGGATTGGGGGGTCATGTTTGGGTTCGGGCCGGGCATCACCGTGGAGACGGTGGTGCTCCGTAGTGTGGCAATTAGTTGAAAACTAAAGGTCCGGCGTTGAGATTTGTTGTTATTATTATTATTTTTTTTAATTGAAGGTAACCGACAATTAGGGGTGGAAATCGGAATGTAATTTTTGAATTCCGCCAATTCCGATCCGAAAATATCAGAATTTGGAACTGTATTTTTCATTCCGATTCTTCTGAATTGAATTGGCATGGTATTTAAAATTTTCGGAAATTTTAATTTCCGATCCAATTTTATTTCTGAATATTTCTGTGATTTTTCGAAATATATAATGTAGTTTTATGATATGTTTTGTAATACCATAATATAACTTATATTATATTTTATATGAAAAATATAAATAATGAAGGATCAAGTAATTATATTATAAAAAAAAATTGGTATCAGAAAATTATGTTTCAAATTTTCAATTTTTTTGTTCCTACATTTATTTTTATTTATTGCGTTTTGTCGAATTCTCATTTGGATGTTCTTGCATTTTCTTGCAAAATTTCAAAAAAAAATAGAAAAATAGCCTGAAAACTAATGTAATTTCCGAATTTGAAACAATAAATTATAAGCTAATGTAACTTCCGAAATTCCGCCAATTTCGCCAATTCCGAGGCATTCTGAAATCGGAATGAATTTTTGCATTCCGATTTTTTTTAGAACGGAAATTGAAACCCATTTTTTACTTCCGAAAAAAATTAGAAATTTTCCGAAAAAGCTATTCCGTCCGATTTCCATCAACTAAACCACCCATTGCATGGCGCTTCTGGCTCTTATGTTTTTTAGTGTCTAAACTCTTTACACTAAAACACACTTTTCCCACATACATGTGGTATCTCTCTAAATTGTTTGTTCTGTCAAATCGAAGTTATTTTCATTTCATTTTGGGGAAATATATTTTGAAATTTTTGAAAAAATAATGTGATATTTATTTATTTTTTATTGAAGACAACAATTATTTACTACAACAGTCGAGTCGAATCATGTTCTGGGGATAGAGAAACTTTTTAAATTGTTTACATTAGAAATCTTGTTTTAAAACCTTAACGAACACTAATTGTTTCATTGCGGAAAACAATTAAAATGGAAATGGAAATGATTTCAATCATTGGGGAACAAACCAATCAGACATTTAATCATTGATCGAAAAAACGAATGGGCGTAGCTAATTCTTACGAGTGTATACGGATGAAAGCTACATGTTCATCTCATGCCCTGTCTTACGTTTGGCGCTATGATGATAAGGATGTTATCCGAACTATTGTCGGGAAATATTTTTCCTTAGCTCGTGTCCTCTCACTGATGGTGCTAAGAATTTTATATCACGATACCAACTATCTCTATCTATATCTATCTACCGGGATAATTACCTTTTCGGCCCTAAACATTTTTTTGTTAGTTCGTCGTCACTTTCTATCTTCGAGGTTTATATGCTTGGTGTTTGTTTTGGCAGATTTTTCCAGCTTCTCCTTCTTTGAAGATTTACCACCTTTAGAAGAATAAACATAAGATGAAGTAAGCATAACATTAAACAAAATCTAGGATAGCGCGAAGAAGGATCACAAGAATATGTTAAAGAAAAGAGACGGAAAAAAGAAAAAAGAAAAAACCCGAAACCTTTCTTTGTAGCAGCAACTTCAGCTTTCAGCTTCCTGTCCTTCCTATCTGATTGACTACCGGCAAATTTATCCGTGTAAAATTTTACGTCCTCATCTTCCTGCAAATTATCATATCAAATGTTTAAAGTAAAAAAAAAAAAAATTAACCGACAACAAATGGAATAGACAAATGTAGAATATACCATTTTTTTGAACAATGGTGATGGAATTCCGATTTTATGAGAAGTAGGTAGGATCTCCCAAGGTCTTTTAGCCCTTTCGACTAAGTCGTCAGAAAGTGAAATGCATTTCCAATTCAGCTGCGTAAGTACCTAAACGGAATTACAAAACACAATCAATTCATTTATTACACTACCAAGTTTATTATTTGCCGTTCCGTTTGATATCAAAACGAAGCTCTTAAATTTACCTTGACCGAGAAAGACGGCATAAAGGGCTCGAGGAGGCAAGCGAGCAGATAAACGACTCCAGCTGATGTCTTCAGAGCCAAAGCACACGTCGGTTCGTCTGTCTTGTAAAGCTTATAGTAAGGGGGGTCCTACATCATCGAATTTTTTAAACAAAAATCTTTGCCTTATTATAAACCGTGGCATTTTAAAAAAATAGAGCAATGTAGGATGAAGTCTTACTTCCAAGTATTTGTTTCCTGCACTAGATATTTCCATGGCTTTCGACAAGGCTTCCCTTAGTTTCACCTATAAATTAAATGCCACTCGGAACCAAGGTAGTCAAAATCAGGATTTTAAGTGAAATCGGAGAGGGGTAGTAAAATCGGAAACGTAAAATGGGATCGTAAAATCGTAAGATTTTACATGTATTGTAAAATAAATATATTTAGTACTTACTACTTAGAAAACATCTGTAACACAAATAAAATAAGTCATAATTTACATAAAATATGTCCTAACAAATATAAAACATCCCAACATTAATTAAACATAGTCTAACATAACTGAAACTAACACTCACAACCGCTGGATGTTTTTTTAGCAGAAGAGAAGTATTTTCTTCTCGTCGTGATAGATTGTTATTTTAGGGCATGGCTGAGCTTTATATATTTTGGATTATTTGGTATTTGGCTAAAAATTTCAGTGAAAAAACTGAATTTATGAGTCCAAAATCCAAAATTTCAGCCCAATTCTTGACAAAAACCAAAATCGCCAAAATCACACTAAAATCGCGTTTTTAACAATTTTAACGATTTTGAACGCGATTTCACACGATTTTAGGGCACCTGCGATTTTAGTGCGATCTTACTCCTTTACAGTGTCTAAAATCTTAAAGTCTTACGATTTTACGATTTAGATCTCGATTTTAACTACATTGCTCGGAACGTTAATCGAGGCGGAATGAGGGTCGTTGTGTACCAAGAAAGAACAAAGAGAGACAAAGTTATGGATCAATTGGTTACCTTTTCCATTGCATCTACATATTCTTGCACAAGTTTACCGACTTTACATCCGAAGTCTTTCGTTGGCGGATGAGAATCAACGCACCGACCTACGGGGATGGCGGACTCATATCCTTCGCCTACATTGCCATAAACCCAATAATTATTCAACAATAAAAATATATATATATATTGAAAAATGAGGAGAAACATCACAGATACCTGGTTCCCTAATAAATAAGAAGCAGTCAGTAAAATGGTTTCCGTGCTAAAAAATAAGAAAAGTTCTTAACCGAGAAACAGATTTGATGAAAAGCTCCCTAGATTGAACATACCTGGACCTTTGGCAATGAATTTCAAGACACGGTTGATGAAGTTTCCAAGATTGCCCACCAGCTCACCCTTCAGCTTGTCTCGCAAATCGGCCCATTCGAATTTTGTGTCTGATCCCTAATATCGTGAATAAATAACGTAATCAGTGTTTGTCGTGATTCGGTACAATCTAGAGCATGTATGCAACTAGTTTATACTATGATATGTTTTTTTCAACAGTGGAGAAGTTTTAGTTCGTTCTTGTTTTTTTTTTGGTTTTGAAAAATACAAGGGCAGATAGTTGGAAAAAAAACATCTAACATACTACTACTAACAATAAATTCAACCATACCACCATTTCCCCATATCGAATAATGAATAACACCATGCCTAATTTAAAGAAACAATCACAAAAATAATAAAAAAAATAAACCCAACTCTATTAATTCTCATAAATAATAAATATTCGACAATTTGACAATAAGTTGTTACTTTTTGCTGATATTGTCATGAGATCAAAAGAAACTAAAAGCAAAACCTATGCAACTTCATTAGTACTACCACAAATTTTATCTAATTTAGTCAAAAACCATCAGGACCACCAGAAATTCGTCTTAATCTCATTTCAACATTTTTTTTATTTTTGTCGTGCCAAATCTAACAAACAAAACATAAGAGGAAGTGCATTACGAAGAGCTTACCTCTGGCCTATTTGCCAGCAAATAGTATCTCCAAACCTCCACGGGAATATTAGTGTCTTTTACATCATTTCCGAACACTCCCACACCCTTACTCTTGGAGAATTTCCCTAAAATCAAAACAATCGAAACATTTTGATTAAAGAAAATCAATTCAGAAGTAGCCTACGAAAGAAAGGCGTCTCACAGCCTCAAACAATTAATATTTTTTTATCCGTGCATATATTACCTGATTCGTAGTTCAAGTACTCTGTAACGCTAATCGTTTTCATCATAGTCCAGCTTTCACCGGTTCCAATAAGAGTGGATGGGAACATCACCTGAAAATTTTACACGGAGGTGTCGTATAAAACACGTCACGAAAAGGACGAACAAAAAAGCTTTGGCGTTACAATTACATACTTTCCGACAGCCAAGATTAATATTTAAAAGACTTACTGTATGGAAAGGCACGTTATCCTTGCCCATAAACTGGTACAGCTCCACATTTTCAGGATTCTTCCACCACTTTTCCCATTCTGCCGTGTAGCATGCAGTAATCGAGACATATCCGATAGGCGCATCGAACCACACATAAAACACCTAACCACGAAATTGCAAAACAGAAACATATTATTTTGTCGAAAAAGAAAAACCAACACACAAAATGTAATCAGCGTCTCGTGTGAATCAATTTACCTTGTCCTTGAAATTCTCGTGGGGAACAGGAACTCCCCATTTCAAATCTCTTGTGATACACCGCGGTTTAAGCCCTTCTCTAAGCCACGAGTTTGTTATTTGAATAGCATTATGACTCCACCCTCCAGACGCTGACGTGGCACTGATATATTCTTCTAACTTATCCTTCAGCTTTGGAAGTTCAATAAACAGGTGGTTTGTATCACGTATGCATGGAGTATCCCGACAAACCTGTTCATTAACCACAACCACTGTTTAAAACTCAACGTTTAAAAAAATCCTCTAAATGTGAATCTACGTGTTCTGGTTAAAAGGCCGATTTTCACTCACCTTGCATTTTGGTTCAAGTAATTCTGTGGGGTTTAAAAGCTTCCCGCACTTGTCACACTGATCTCCACGCGCACAATCGTAATTGCAACCAGGTGTTGGACAATTACCCTCCACAAGCCTATCGGCCAAGAATCTTTCACATCTATCACAGTATAGCTTCACCAACAAATTGATTTAATAAGCATCACCAAAAAAAAAAAAAAAGAGTGACAGAATATTAATTTAGGAATAATATAGCACCTGCTGCATTGTGTTTTCTGAAAAAAAATCATTCTCCCATAGTTTCTTGAAAATTGCTTGACATACTTCAGTCTGCTGCGGACTCGAGGTCCGCCCAAACTCGTCGAAGCTTATATCGAACCACTCATACACCTCTTTGTGAATTGCGTGATATCTGAAAAATAAAGAAAAATTAAATTTTAGTATGGGTGTAATTTGTAAATGAATTCAATTCCTGGCTCAATCCGATTATTTTTTCTGAATTTTAATCGAAACAAGTCCGAATACGATTTTCATATCCAAAAATATTCGAATAAAATTTCAATGAAAAAACAATACTTACTTATCACAAATTTCTTGAGGAGAAGATCCTTCCTCGATTGCCTTGGTTTCAGTAGCCGTACCATATTCATCTGTACCACAGATGTAGAGTGCGTTATACCCTCTGTTTCTGCAGTACCTCGCATAAACGTCGGCGCTAAGAACACCTATTCAAAATTAAATCAAAAAAATATGTTTATTGTATATAAATAAAACGCACATACACCACCGATTACACACAGTGAGATTGAAATTAAATTAGATTTCAGGACTTACATCCGATGATGTTTCCGAGATGGGGAACGTTGTTGACGTACGGTAACGCACTAGTTATGAGAATATTACGCTTTCCGGCAAGGGGAATCTTCGCTGCGTCGGAGGCGGCCGTCTCCGGTGGAGACGAAGAGACGATCGCTGCGGTGGTGTCGGCCGTCTCCTGTGGAGACGAAGAGACGATCGCTGCGGTGGTGGCGGCCGTCTCCGGTGGAGACGAAGAGACGATCGCTGCGGTGGTGGCCATCTCCGGTGGAGACGAGGGGCTGTGATTCGCACTGAAGAAAGGGAACCGCCGCCGGCGGTATTTATATTGGGGGTTTTGTATTTCGCTATTATTAATATACAAAATCTCTGGAATAAAAGTAGTTAGGCCACAATATTATATTAAAAAAATCTTTAATTTATGTTAATGAGAATGAATCACAAACAGAAGAAAACAAACATTATTAAATGTAGGGCAAATCACAAGGTACCTTCTTGGGTACGGTAAGATATAAATTACAAAACTCTCCCCTATGTTTGTGTAATTACGAAAAAAGACCACTATAAGTTATGTTGTTATCTTAAGAAGTCCTTCTTAATCTTAACGCAATCTTTTTGATTTCATGAAATATTCCTCTGATACTTTATTTTTGTAAGCATACTATTTAGTTGGGAAGTAGATTGTATATATCTAAAAAACTCTATAATTACGAGATTTTAATTTTATAAATGTTATGTACTCTTCATTTTATAATTGTTAAAAATAAAAAGAAATATATGAAAACGAATTAAACTTAGATTCCAACATTAAAAAAATTTAATTTGCTTTGTAATTTATTTTTCGATTACATTTTTTTACACAATAAACTCGATTTTGCAAATAAATATATTAAATATAAATAAATCAGTGAAAAAAATTTAGTTTTGATTGATTTCCTCGCTTACTCATCCAAGATAATGAAAACCAAATTTATTGGTTCGTGATCGGTTTTTGTGCATGAATAGAACGATAAAGATCTGCAGGTTATATTTCACCCGATGTAGCATGTAATAAACCTGAGGGATATCACTTTTATTCCGGACGGCTAAAAATGCCTCCAAACATCAAGAAAAAAGAGCCTTTTTATTACAACTTCCTATTTCAGAATTCATCGTTTTACAAAACCATACAAGATTGGTTCCAAAATTGAACACTTAATTAAAAAATAAAAATCAAGAGAAAAGAGGAAATCTCTGCTCACCCGAGGCGTACGAGATTATATTCTTTTTCAACGGTGAAATATAATGGGCTCCTTGGAATGCAGCAGCGCGAAGAACATTTAACGGTCCAAAATCAATGGAATACGCCTTTTGAAACCCGTCCAGGATTGCCATCATTGTAACATTTGCAGGTTTCCTTTCTGATTCGTATCGTTTTAGCAATGATAACTGAGTAAAAACATAAACAAGGTCCAGACATTAAAAAATAATAATAATAAACAAAAGATAAGATAGACAAATGCTCGTGATCAATATCTTCTTAGGCCTTGTTTGTAAATTATAGTATTATTGTCCGACCAAGAGTCTTGACTAGGGGTGGTGGAAATCGGACAAATTGAATTGGAATTCGCACTTTCGGAAGAAAAAAAATCATTTTTTTCCGGACGAGAAAAACAAATTCCAATTCAGGATAGTTAGAACTCAGAATTTCGGAAAATGAAAAAACTTAATACAAAATCGAAAAAATCCTGATCAAAATCAGCGAAATTCAGAATTTTCATTTTTAATCACCTAGATATAAAGTATATATGATCATATATATATTTAAAGTGTAATTTGGGAAAACATTGGAATTTTTGAAATATTTTTGGAAATTCGAAAAATTTGGGCCTACATTAATTAGCATGCAGAGGTGTTCTTCATATGGGTTTTGATTACGGAAAATAAAACGAAGCGAAACCTAAAACAGAAAATTTGAATAAATAGCATAAAATTGAAAAGGAGAAAATTAGCATATACCTCCCCGATATCTGATCCAACTGCAATGCCTTGAGAGATAACCTTAGAGAGAGAAAACGCATCTCCGAATCCCATATTAACTCCTTGACCAGCCAAAGGATGAACAGTATGCGCAGCATCTCCAATAATAGCAACACGTTTCGACGCGTAACGATTAGCGTGATTTAAAGATAAAGGGAAAACCATTCTTTCGGAGGCTAATTTAGTAATTTTCGGTGCAGCCTCAAATAAATCATCGGCCGAAGACGCTGTTCTATCTGAGTTGGTTAGCCAAGAGAAAGGTGGGGCCCCCGACAGTTGAGATTTCGGACGTGGGCCATAGCCACTGTCCAATGCACGATTTAATTCTTCGACAAATTCAAGTTCGGACATCGATTTGCGATTCGATGACTCATCGGGGCTCATTGTCCACACGATGTTGCTGAAATTGTCACCTATTGGAAGAAGAGCAATTGGACCGTTGGGTAGAAATCTTTGCCATGCGCAAAAATTTTCTTGCGTATGTTGTACGGTACATATAATGGCATTTTGGGAGTATTTCCATCCGGTTGAGGTTATTCCTGCCAACTCCTTAACACGTGATTTTGATCCATCCGCCCCAACCTGTTAATAAATTTTTTTTATTTATTTTCTGCAACAAATGATTAAGATTTTGAATAAATACTTAGGTAATATGCTGAATTTTACCACTAATTTTGCGTACAAGCTATGACCGTCACTGAGTTCCAGTTTTGCTAAAGATCCGTGAGGAGTTGATGAAGAGCTTGGTTGTGTTGTCATTGAGTTCAATTTGAAGTGATATATTTTCTGCTCGGAATCTGCATTCTGTTACGAGCATAACATAACCGAAAATGATGATGTCATTCAATAGAATCTCTATATGGAGTTGATAATAATTCATACACATTGGCAAATATGATGAATGATTGAAGAGTTGCTAAAATAGATCAGAAAACAACATTATACAACACTGGCCAGGTTTCCAGACGACAACTCACTCTTCAATAGAATACTCTTATTAATATATACATATATGTTTATATAATCATGAAAACAATGCCAAAACATAGAAAACTGGCATAGCCAAAAAAAAAAGCAAAAAAAGAATATTAAAAAAAATTGGGAACTTCGATCACCAAAAATAAAAAAGCGCATAACGAAATAACAAAACCTATTAGCAATCAAGTGCACAGAGAAAGCAAAAAATTGAATAGTCAACTGTAATCCCATGTCAGAGTAATTTCACATTACCATCTGATGAAGATTTAAAATAAAAATAAATAAATAAACAAGATTGAACTTTTAAAAATAACCAGAATCTAAATACTAATTCAAAAGAAACATTGAAGCAAACACAAATGCTAAACATTATGCATTTTGGATAATAATTTGATTATACCAACAGTATTAGACTATTAGCCATTATATTATTCATAAGATGCTTTTCCAAAGAAAGTAGAGCTCGTTTTTCAATGATTATAGACAAAATAGAATCTATATACTTTCTTCCCTACTCAAGCAAGGAATTCACAAGTCAAATAAATATATTAGATAATTTTTTGTTGTATAAATGACTGGGATTTAGAAGTCGAATTGATGAATAGTATTTTCCATCAAAGTAAGCGCAATAATTTCAGTACCTGTAGGCCTGACAAGAGAGATCTATGAAGCACTTTATTCTCCACAACGCACCTAAATTAAAAAAAATCCCAAAAAAGCATTATCTGCAAGAAAGAATTGTATGATTACGAAAAGGAATCGCACTGCAGCTTTTTTTCTTTCTTTTTTTACCCTAGTACTTCCTTGTTAATGTCTCTCGCATTGTACTTTGTATACCCAAGACCGGTGTAATCCCAAACCTAGAAAAAAGACACTGAACGAGATTCAGATTTAAACAAAAATTACACGATAAAAAATAAAACAATTTAAGGGCATCAGTCTAGCCAAAGCAACACAAAATAGGAGCAATAGAAAAAGAAAACTTTAAACATTTTCCACTATCAATACCTGCATCTTATCAAAGTAAGCATGACGATGCTCTTCGACATATTTCCACGCACCCATATCTGAAAAGGAACGGTTTTCATGCTAACATAGTTTATATAACAAGTAATTTAACAAAATGTGAGTCAAAAACACGAAACCGCAAATGTAAAAGAAAAAAAATTACCTTTAAAAAGAGCTATAGTGGCTGGTGTGACAGTACTAACTCTTGGATCTGGGGGATCCTCTTTCTTGATGACATCACCGCTAAGTAGTGCTGGATTGCTATCGATAATGGCAACACTTAGTTTCTTCGTCAATGGCGTGTTTGCTGCAAAGCATACAATACACATGTTTTTGTATTACTCGATCTGCATTAGCAAAAGCGCTAAATTTTCTATATGAAAATTAAGGATGAATAAATCTTTACTAAATCATGCTTCTACAGCCTCACATTCCAGAGAACAAATCAGGGGTCGTCTTGGGTTCAATCTTGATTTTAAAAAATAAAATAAAATAAATTGAAGGCAATTATAAAGAGTGTATTGTATTTAGTACCCTATTGTTCTAACAAATTGCTAAAAAAGTCCCTGTGTTATCAATATTAGGAGAAAAAAAACCGATCATGCATTTTTTTTAATTTGCACACAATCCCCTGCATGGTGATGTTTTAGGGGATATTTTGCTAAAACAATTGCACTATATGGGAGTTTTTGGTAATAGCTATAACACGATGACTTTTTTTACAATTAGAGTAAACACAGGGGTGCTGAATCCAATAAACCCCAATTGCAAACAGTCTTTGGCCAAAGGCTCAAGAAAACTACTAAAGAAGAGTGCCGAATATGCTGAGAAACGTTTGTAGGGCAAAATCAGCACTATAAATCTATTTCAGTAGCATACTAAAAGATATCCGACACTTAACTTAATTATGTCAAATATAAGATACATTTTAATATTGAGAAAAAAAATTTACCCAAAGAGCAGGCCAATGCCATGCCAACCATGCCACCTCCAACAATAGCAACATCATGCACTGGATGATTGGTGTGGGATCCGTGCTTGTCTGAAAGCTCCTATGTATATATAATAATACTTTAGAGGCAAAATTTCATGCAGAAAACACTTTTACAAAATAGTACGATAAATATTTCATCTCTCAAAACTCAGGTTCAGTTAGCATTATTTAAGATGCCACAAGACCAACAGAATAATTGCAAGTTCATGCTCTTTTGGTCTTTTTTCCCTCAGGGTTATAATTTATTTATTTTCGGTCTTATTCTTAACCAGAATCAATCAAATAAATTGATCTGCACATGGATTCTGCACACTTTTTTCTTCTCTTTAGTTATGTATCTTATTTTCAGAGTTTCTGTTTCTGTTAAATCCAATTCATTTACAGAAAAGATCAGCTTCTATTCGACAACATCGTATATGTTTACTAAACATTACTTTTCTTCTAGTTTGATTACTAAGTGACATTTTTTTTCTTCTAATTCACGATCAATAGACAACCCATACAAGAACAACGGCAGAACATGTGAGAGGACAATTTATGTGGTTGTCATGCAAATGAAGCAAAACTAGCATATATGAGCAGGAAGATTAACTTAGGCAACAAATATACGAGTATTGAGAATGACACAAGTGCAGTTAATAAAGAAATCCTAGCTCTGTTTATGTACAATAGCTCAAGAATTAGAATAAAGCATAAATGACATAAAGCTATGTAACTACTAACTTGATCACGATCTTCACTGGGTAACTTGACACCCGAACTACAACACAGAGTCCTCCGTGCCGATTTCAAGGCATGAATATTGAACGCCACTTTTCTTGCAGTTATCCTTGTACAAACACATTAAGAAAAGGATCCAATATCAATATTAAATATCAATTCAAGCAATCTCTACACCTTCAATCCCAATCGTGAACAAAAACATCGAAATCAAGCCCATTTTTAGTCAGGTAACAATGGCAAATTCCAGTTAAAGTTTCGGCGTGACGAATGTGCGTGGAGTATGCAATGAAAATAGCATCAAATGCGAAGATGTTCTTGTCTGGCATTTGATCGAACACATGGCGGGCATAAAAGAGGTGGTGGGTTTTGGAGTACACTCAAAATCGACTCATATTTTAACACAGCATAGGTTAGCTTTTCACCAATTTCAGAAACCCACAACCCAAAATTAAAATATATTTAAAACAAAAATAAAAATAATGAAGAAACTCCATACCTATTCATTTTGCTGGCGATCTTTTTTGAGTTTCAGAGAGAGATTGTTGAGAAGCACAAATGGAAGAAGAAGAATAAACCTGAACAAAAAAAAAAAGAGGAGATAAAATTGAATTGAAGAAACGATGTGTCATTCATTAATTAAAGAGTCGTGTTAGTGATTCTTGTGCTTACACGTTTCTACTTTCTAGTGCTGCATTCCCGACCTCCATTGATGGGCTGAGCCCGAAATTTAAGCCCAAACAAGTGTACACTACTATTTGCATTTTAATTCATTAGGCCCAAGGCCCAATTTCTTGTTAATGTTTAACTTTGATTTTACCCTCCAATTTAAAATTACACTACACTGTATTTTATTTTTTGTAACGAAGGAACTCGCTGTCAACAGTATAGGTATAGGTGCAATAGGTAAATATATATACATATTCGTATAATAACTTGCAAATCATAGGTGTAACAAACTTGACTAGGTATAGGTGCAATAGGTAAATATATATGTACATATTCGTATAATAGCTCGCAAATCATATGTCATGTGTAACAAACTTGACCTATCGACTGTTGGCAAAATAATTCGAACATGGATCAATTGACACAAGTTCATCCCTTGCAGGACAGTAAATACGGATTCTCATTTCATAATAAGTTGATGGTAAAGCTCCTTTTGTTCCAATTTATTTTGCAATAAACTTATTGTGTATCGATAAATAAAATATAAATATATTTTTAAAGAAAATTATTGACAACAAGTTCCAATAATTACCCTATGCTTGTCAATTTTCATTATCCTACTCATTATGCCAATATTAGTGTGATAATTATAGACAACATTATTGTGACATACTAAGTATCCAACATTGGACACGCGCAAGGTACTTTTCTTTTTACCCTTTATTTCTCTTTTTAAAAGCATTATCATTTACAAAGATAATTTACAAAAACAAAAACAAAAACTAATAAAATGGATTTAATAAAACCCCAACTTTACTTCTCAACCCCTCGAATCCAAACATAATAATTTCCAAAAAAAAAATAACGGTAAATTACAGTCAGCCATGAGGTAAGATCAAATTACGAAAAACCATTCACGTTTGAGTAATTACAACCACCCCACAATTATAATTTTTTTTACATGTTCACCCTTTGGTGCCACATTTAGTAGACTTTTCTAGATTATGTGGAATATTCTTCAATTTGTACCCGTTTTAACCCATTCGAGCTCCACATTTTAAAACAATATGATCATAAGATGTGTGTCTCTTGGCTTGTAAATATCAGATTGTGGTGCATCTGAAACTGCATTTTTTGCACAAAACGAATACAAAATTGGAGAACATTTCACGGAATCTTGAAAATTTTGTTAACTGTACTATAAGGGTGGATGTGTAAGAAGATTCATAATTGATGGAGTAATTGTAATTTCTCAAACGGGATGGGAGTTTCGTAATTTGACGTTACCTCATGAGGCGGCATGAGGCGGCCTTAATTTACACTAATAACAATAAAAAGATGCAAGGGTGGGTTTGTTGAGGGAGTAAAATAGTGTGATTGTTTAAAGATCCAAATTTGATTTCTCTGTCAACACTTTTTAAATCTAACTTATATATCTCATATCCAAATTTGATTTCTCTATCAACACTTTCTAAATCTAACTTATATATCTCACGTGGTTTACGAGCTATTAATTACACGAGAGCGAGAGCGAGACTTACGCAATAGACATCTGTGGTTGCAAGTTCCTTTGTAAAAAAAATGAAAAAATCTCAATTCAATAGGAGAAAGAAACAATTCTAATTAGAGATTAAAAATCAATAGGACCATTATTGCACGCCCTCCCTCCCTCTTTTTATTTCTTTCTTTTTAGAGTGATTTTAATTATTTAATTGTTATTATTTTTATTATTTTTTTGGTTGCTTTTCCCACCATTTTTCACCTTGCTAATGAGTGCAAAAGCACAAAGAAAAGAAGAAATAAAAAAAAAACAAACCTTAGTGGATGAGAGGCACGAGTCCTTGATTCATGATTGTATGTTGTAACCGAATCTAAAATTCCATCTTAAAAAAACATGTTAGTTTAAAGTATAAAATGTCACTCAATGCCACCCAACTAACCTATATATATAGCAAGTGCAGTTATTATTATCTACTAATTACTTTTTCTTTATGCTTTTGAACTTATTAATTTCAAATTCATGACAATTAATTTATTCGACTTGTTTAGACGTATAATGTCATGGTATCATAAATTACGTTTTCCGGTCCTACAGTACAACCTCGATAAATTAATAGTCTCGTTTAAATAAAAAAAAAGTTATGTCCGTACTCGATGAAAACATGTTAAATTATTAGTTCAATAATTTAATATTTCGCTAAATTAATAGAATTTTGCTAATTTGCTCGTGTGTATTAATTTATAGAGGTTTAGTTGCATTTTGTAATTTCTGAGTGACAATTATATATATATATATATGTCAATTCTGAAGCAACATGTTGAAGCATAAATTTCTTCAACATTACCTCCATTTTCCATATATATATCTCACTAATTAGTTTCAAGAAAACTTTCATGATAGATTAATCAACACAAAAGAGCCGGAATTCGAGGGATTAATTAATAATCAGGTTCTTGTTGAGGGATTAAATAATCTTGATATATCCTGGCGGCGGCGGCGGCTCACAACAAGTGCACCTCACTAGTGTGCTCGTGTTATGTAGCGTCAAGAAACTCCGACAGCAGAGATCAAGAAGAAGAAATCAACACAAGGAATATCAATATCGGAACAAATAATATCGATAATCGGAAACTAGGGTTTTCGGGTTCGGGAAATAATAGGTCGGATAATGAAGGATTATTTAATATGGATAGTGAATCGTCGAAGAAGGGTTGTTTGGTTAAGAGGATTGATAGAAGTTCATCAAATGGGATTATTAATCAGGCTGAATCCAGTAGTACTCTCAAGAGTAATCTAAAGAGAAGTGAATCAATGGTGGAGATGATTAATAATCCAGGTGGTGGGATAAGAAAAGTTAGCTGGTCTGATGCACATGGGAAAGACATTGCTCATGTTCAAGAATTTGAACCAAGGTATGTATTATTAATTTATTATATATATGATTTAATTTCTCTTCATTATACTGAATTTTTCCTATTTTAATTTTTGTGACAGAAATATGGAATAAAATTTTACTAGCTAGAAAATAAAATAATTACTAAGAATTTTATTTTGCTATAAAAATATGGGTAAATTACAACCACCACCCTAAGGTATGGCTAATTTACGAAAAAAACTCTCATGTTTGGGTAATTACAACCACACCCCCAACTATAAATCTTCATACACGTCCACCCTTGTGGTGTCAAATTTAGTGGAATCATCTGGATTATGTGGAATATTCTCAATCTTGTACCCGTTTTATCCCATCCGAGCTCCACATTTGGAAGCAAGATGATCATAAGATGTGTTTTTTGGCTTGTATGTATGTATCAAATTGTGGTGCATCAGAAACTGCATTTTTGCACAAAACGAGTACAAACTAGAGAACATTCCACATAATGTAGAAAATTATGTTGAATTTGACACCATAACGGTGGACGTGTAAGGGGATTCATGGTTGAGGGGTAGTTGTAATTATCCAAACATGAGGAGATTTTCGTAATTTGACTAATACCTCAGGAGTGGTTGTAATTTACCCTAAAAATATTAATTATTTTAATTTTAAATTTTTTTTTTATCGTTAATGTTATTCTTTTTGGTATTGCATGGAAATTATGCGAACGTAGGCTTAACCTAAGATTATGCATGCTCGTGACGAGTAACATCACGGAAAACATATTATTTTAGTTTTTTTTTTTTCTTGGTCGAATATAACATTTTATCCATCTCAAAAAAAAATATAACATTTTATTTATTATTTTTATTTATTATTTTTATTTATTATTAATTAGCCTCTAACTAACTATTTGAATGTATGTATGTATATATTTTCAGTGAAGAAGGAGATATAGGAGGAGTAGGGAAGTCTTGTAGATGTGCCATTCAGTGACAAAGCTAGAGTATAAATCAAGTGTTCAATTTCAAATTAATTAATTTGGATGGAGGTTGAAAAATATAAACCATTTGTAATTAATTCCTTTTAAACTTCAGATTCTAACGTGACAGCATTTTTCTTATGAGATGAAATATATATATATATATATATATATATATATATATATATATATATATATATATATATTATGGTAAGATTGCAACATGCAACATTTCTTTTATGGAAATATTGCTTTTTTTATTATGACAAAATAAAGAGATTAAAGTACATTTTCACCAAATCTATCGACGTTTATGCACACCAAATGATCCGTTGCGTTGTTCTTTTGCCGAAGCATCTGAAGTACAGTTAAACTTCTATAAAGTAATACAGTCGGGACTAACAATATTATTAAAGCGATATTAATTTATATTGAGAAATAATTTATCGAGATTCTATTGTATTTTTTTAGCTAACGTCACATTCCCAAAACTAATTTTGCATTATATCCCACATCAATTAAATTGGGACCCTTTTGCTTTAATGTAGGGTTATTATTTATTAACAATTTTGCCACAACAACAAATGTTTCGTTTTTCGAATTAGTGTCTTGATTGATAACCGAACCCTAAAATCGACCCTAACATGGGTTGATCGAGCAATCAAGCACAAGTCTATGCACCATCAATGGCAAAAATACGAAACGACACATGGTTTCGTTTATCTAACAAGAAAGGTTCGGGGTATTTTTGTCATTTGACCAGCAATCCAACTTTTATCACAAATCCAAACAAATTGCAATAAACTAATCAACAAAATGATGATAATACAAAACGAAGAATGTACAAACAAGTTCCCTTCAATCTTCGAGTAAAAGAAGCTAAAACTACATGTAGAAGTAGTCACGCCCTAAACACGAAACAAATTTTCGATAATGGTTAACAAGAATTACACTTTTTTCAAACTTCTATAAACCCCCCACAATGATGACATATCCGATACCAAATTACTATTATACCCCCCACAATGATATTCTTACCACGTATTACCGAAAACAAATACAAATCAGTTTGGCATGTATAAATGCTACTTCTGACTTTTGGCTTTCTTGGATTTGCTCTTTTCTTGCATCTTTTTCTTCTTTGCTTCGGCAGTTATCCATGAATAATCTGAAGGAATCGCAAACGGGTCCTGGATATTCTCGATCCGGCTGCTTGACCCGTTCGAAGACGAACCGGTTCGTTGATAAGGAGCTTTTATCCACTGGAACCAAGATGAAGTTGAAGACTGGATCAACGGACTATCTTTGCTATAAGCAGTTGGGCTTGAAGGGGGTGTTGAGAACTCGTCTAGTGGTTGCAACTCTTCGAACTTTGTGAATGTGACCATCACCCTTATAGTCGGAACCACCGGAATTGCCAGCTGGAATTAGCAGAGAGACGAAATTAATCAAGAGAGCAAATTACTCGTAGATAAAATTAAAGATAAAGAGATCTACTTATTGATATAATGCTATCAGAGAGTGGTCTTTCATGAAAGTCATGCTAAAATTGATGAAAAAGACACGAGTTTTCAGCGATCATGTCCGACTCTTATCATTTTAAGTGGGACCCACCCAATCATATTGGGCTCTAGGTACGTAATTAGATTTTTTTACTTTCTAGTACTTGCAACCTCCACAATCAACAATAGTAAATAGTGAAGCAAAATCTCTAGCAAAAATATCGCAATTTACAGAACCTGATATCCCACTGATATCCCACACGATATCTAGGAAAAGAATAATCACAAATAGACCTTAATGAAAAGCGGCAGCCATGCATTTTCCAAAGAGTTTTGTGTCCGAGAAACCATGAAGTTAATTTAATGGGAAAAAAAATGTAATCATCAAATCTGCATATTTATTACTTGGGTCAATGCTGTGATGTTGCAGACCACGAGATTACGTCTAATTTTACCAATATGGTCACTGACAAGAGAACCGCATAACTGACACTTCATGTTACATGATTATCATGTTCAAAGACGAAGAAAAGAATTATTGCACAACACAAACTTTCTAAACCCATCACATACACTGATAAATATGTAACGCCCAATGCAAATATTAGTTATAGTGAAGAAGAATTGAATGAAGCATGCATATAAGTCCGTAAAGCGCAAGTAACAAACATACCTTGACAGGAAACGTCCCCTTGGGTAGTTTTGTAGTGAACAACTCTCTTAATCGTCGTATAGCTTTAACTTTATTCGCTAAAATGTCGAGCAAAGGAAGAAGTTCTTCTGTACCCAACGGAAAATCTGGAGAAAGCCACAGAATCGGCCTTAAACCTTTCTTATATTCATTCTCCTTATTTACATCCTTTCTTCGATTCCCACTATCAATATGCGTCAAAGAAGGACCTTTAACCTCTCTTCCTCTCCGATGCTCATCCCTTTTCACAACCACCTCAACAGAGTGCCTACCTGTACTATTCTGAGTACTAGGAGAATCTTCTAGAAGATTACTAACTTTCTCCTCCACACACAAAGAACCCCTCGGTGGAGCAATTCTTCTCTCGTTCTCTTGTTTATTTTCCTTTCTCCTCCATCCATTGAACCACCCTTTCTTTTCGTGCCTAGCTTCTCCATTTCTACAACCATCAATCTCCTCAATGGGAATATCCCTGTGGTCGTAACAACTGTGTCGGTGCGCAATAATCCCGTCACCGTTTTCATTGCCATTATCCGAGGCGTCCATTTTAAGAGCAACCTCGAGCTGCCTTCTCTCTTCCTCTGTCAAAATATCGTCGAACTCATTGTCTCCTTCATTTTCATTGGTCGAGCTGAAAAGCTCATCATCCGTCATGGCACCCGGGACCCGCCTCGATTTAATACTCACAACAACATTATGCATGTCGTACACTTTAGCTTTCCAATGGCCCACCATCTCTGTTTTCTCCTGTTTCCTCCACGTCGTTTGAGGTATAAGAACTGCTTGAGTGACATCAATGCCAGGCCTGAATATATTAGTCTGAGACATTGCAGTCACTTCGTGCTGCACCTCCGCCTCACTCGCCGGAGCTCCGGCACCATCCAAAGCGTTCATTACCTCCTTATCTTTATGCGATATCATACAGAGTGAACCTGGAGGAACTTGACCATCCTCAGACCCATCGCCTAGGAACAAAACAGTCTGGTCCGAACGCTGTATCCTTAAACCGTCGAAACCCGCCAGAGTCATATCCGCCCTCAGATTAGCGCCCCTCTTCCAGATTTTGTAAGTATCTGAAGGAGCAATTCTTGAAATGAAAGGGATAACCGAACTCTCAAAGTGGAACGTGATCTCCATGTAAAAATCCCTCATCCTTCTCATCGTTTGAATCAACCGAGGTAGCCTTCTGCACCATTTCGCCCAAGCTAAAGGCTGGTAATGCCTGACTATAATTTTAGCAATCCCTTCTTCCCTATTGCATATTGCTTCCTGTAAAGCGCTCCATCCCTGTTCGTTCTGCAAGCTCCAATCTGCGCCAGCAAGCATGAGCATCTCTGTCGAAGTTTCATCGCCGAATTTGACAGCCAAATGAAGCGGCGTATTTCTTTCCGGTACATCACGTCGATCAATTGCAGCAGCTATGATGTCAGCTTTAGCTTCTTCTGCAAGAGAAACTGACTCTGTGTGAATCTCGGATGGGTCACACAGTCGGGGAAGGCCTGCAATAATTTTCCTAAGTCCAGCATAATCCTTCAAGATTATTGCCTTATGGACAGGACTATGCTCGTACTTTGATACATCAACAGATGACATGTCTTGGAAGTATATGGGAACAAACTATGCTATTCAATCATCCAAAGTTCCACAGACCAATAAAGCAAATCAAAACCTCCCAGTTTAGCCAACCAACTCGCTCCTCGAACCACTGACACAACAAAAACAAACTACTCAAATATCGGTTATATAATTCTTGAGTCCAAGCAAGAAATACAGAAAAAATAATTCATACATGTGGTTTAAATGCAGAGACGATACAAGAAACACAGAAACTACAATTTAATAACCAATAGAGGAAATTCAAATGCAGAATCTTGAAGGAGTCACAAGTTAGAAAGATTTTTCAGAATAGGGGAAAATACCACCTTATCTTTTCCAGTAACGAATTTGGCGCCTCAAAGTTCCCCCATAACAACACTCTCTCAGCAATAAAGATTGAACAAACAACAGAAAGGAACAAACAGAAATCCAAGAGATCTAATCCAGATCACGCAGAAACAACAAAACAGATGTCGCTTGGTGTAAAATGGTGGCAAACATGAATAAAGGGGATGATAAAAGGTAGTAAATTATTAATAAACAATTGAGAATCTGAGGAAGGGGTGGATGAGATAAAAGTATAAGGAAGGAACTACTTTTAATGAAGACAAAGAAAAGCACCAGTACACAAAACCTACCAATCAAGCAAAGGGCTAAAGTGTTCTGTTTTTGGACAGACATAAAGTCTTGGGTAAGAAAAACAGTATCCCACAATTCAGGTTTTTACTCTTGCAAAGGGACAATTAAAGGGGTAAAAAAATCTCTTTTATTTACAGAAATAAATTTCCAAATAGTAATGCGATGGATATAACGCGAGACTGGAAAATTTGAATAAAAATTCTTAGTAACAAACTAACAATAAGTTTCTCGTACAAACTACAGTATATTTTCACTACCTCTAGAGTCAATAACAGTTTAATCATATGTTCCGCACTTGCTCCCTCAAACCATAAAAATAGTTGCAATTTGCCCCCTCAAACTAAAAGAACAATACTTCGTTTCTGGTTAACCCCCTTCCCAATCATTCCGAGATATTTAATTAAGACCAGGAAAACTTAGAAATTTGTGGTTTGAGTTCACAATGTGCAAAGGGAACTCAACCTTAACGAAAATTACACGACCCAACAATTCATTTCTAAATAATTTCAACATGAGTGAATGCGGTAACTTCATTTCTTAAATCTTAACACAGCACATTTCGATTTTTATTCATGATTTCCCAATAATAAGTATTAACCGATCATTTTTTAACAATAGTGCAAATCTGCTTATAATCACAAAGATAATTACAACAACCAAATTCAATCCCTCAATATAATTTTATATTATACTAAGATCCCATTTCTCTGCACATCTCCAAGATTCAAAAGTTCAATAGTAATCGAAATAATTACCCAAAAATTTCCAAACAATATTAAATAATTCACAAAATCGATGTAAACCCACACTGTAGCAACAATTAAAAAACAACGCATCAACTCCAAGAAAAAACATAAACACAGATCGCAACATTTGTAACCTAATCAACAGTACGAATTTCGAAAAATTCATAATAAACAGCACAGAATCAATCGCATACCTTTTCAAGTGGTTGTGGAAAGCTAGGGCTGTTGGCTTTCAACTGAAAATATTCTTCACTTAAATCGAAGCGCCGGAGATTGGTCGGATCGGGCTGCTCCGAAGATTCCGGAAACCAATTGGAGATGAGGAAAAAAATTGGGGAAAATCAATCTTCTGGAAATATGCAATTAAATTGATGAAATTCGAGATTCTTCCAGGATTTTCTTTGATTTTCTTTGATTTTGTCTGATTTATTATTTACTTCGACGGAAGGAGAGAGAGAGAAATAGCGAACAGTGGAACATCTATGCTTGTGTGTACATGCATATATGTATGTATGTATGTATGTATGTATGTATGTATATGTCATTCATAATGCATTTTTTTTTTCTTTTTTTGGAAAACAATTGGAGGTGTTATCTACACACCATAAATTACAAATTACATGCTCCCTCTTTTTTATATTATTTATTGAATAAAAATGTTACTGTTTCGAAATTATTTGTCACTTATATTTGAAATGAAGTATTTATTATATTTTTCTCGATTATTTTTTACTATTCTTAATTTTCGAGATGGGGTATTTTAGTTATTTTATCATGTTTTTTCTTGAAATTTATTACTTTTTACTAAACTAAAATGACAATTTAAATAGGAAATGAGAGAGTACAATTACATTTGGTGAAATTCATCAAACATTAATTAGAATAAATTGGGCTAGCATAGAATAATATCTTGAATTAAAGGGCAAAGTTCACTTTGCATTCCTGAATTATGGGGTGTGTCGCAAACACACCCCTCAATTATGAAATTTATTGAATACCCCTCCTCACATTTTGTACTGTGTTTAAATATGTCGATGTTATCTGTTATATTGTGCAAGGGCTGAAAGCTTAAATGTGCCTCACTTTTTTGCCTTTATTCTTCATTTGAAATTAAGTTTTTATCTTTTTGCTCATTTTTTCTTCTTAATGTCACTATAATGTTTGGTGTCAGTTCTAGTTGTCATCATACAAGTAGTTTGAAGCTCAATTTTATATGGCATTCTAAACCAAACTGCATTAATAACTGTATATTTAATTTTTTTTAATTAAACCAAACATTTGAAAATAGGACATTAAATTTGGGTAAACATCCCTCAAAATTAGTCAAAACCCCCAACATATTCAAATTACATCAGACTTCCATGATGAATTTTAATTACAAAAAATTGACCTGCCACCATAACCTACAAAACGATATGTTTATAGGATGAGCTACGTTGTAAAAAATGAAGGAGATGATGACTTTGTATTTTTCTTATTTTAGCTAAAATATTTTGAAGTACTAAAGTTCACATATATCTACTCTAGACTGAAGGCGAGGGTAAGATTGTAATTTCAATAAAACATTACAAAACTAATGTCTTTATATTTTTGAAAGTTTAACCAGAAAAATGTAGGGGGATATTTAATACGTTTCGTAATTGAGGGGTGTGTATGAGATGCACCCCATAATTTAGGGGCACAAAGTGAAGTTTGTTCTCAATTAAATAAATAGCATTAAGGTGGACCAAAATTTTGCATCCCTTATGTTATATAATGTCATTTTGCATCCCTTATGTTATTTTGCATCCAATTATGGAAAAATATTAAATTCTCCCCTTCAACCGACTAACATGCTTAAATTCAATTTTTTCCCTTAAAAAACCAACATAGCTATTATCGTCAATTAATGCCATATTTTGGTCCCAGTTCAAAATTGTATGGAATATGTTTTTACTCATGTTAAATAAGTCACTTGTACTCTCAAAAAAATAAATAAATAAATAAGTCACTTGTAAAGAAAAAAAATAAGCATTTGAATTTGAACTCGTAAATGTTACATCGAGTGATACATATATCGAAAATCGAGTAGTACATTATCATAAATTGACGTTTATTTCTACATATAAAATAAATATACAAAATGTGTGTGTATAATATCTATATATATAGTTGAATATTATCATAACGATTAACGTGTTGCCAATTTCTTGATTTGGGCTCATTACACATTGTTTGGATAGCTATGGCTAATGAACTATAATTTTGTTTGGCCTTTTTAAAGTTTATTTTGTTGAAATTAGTTAGGAAAGTAAATGTGCATACAATTTCCTTTTTCATTTTTGGAATATAGTTATTACATCTTTTCTTTAAAGCAATAGTTAATTTTGAAGCGGATAGACCATTTTTTATATAAATTGAAGGATACTTTAGTTCATTAAGCCAAAAAAATAAAAATAATAATTGAATGTCGATTTACTTGACAATTTAACGTTAATATTTTAGTTTCGGGACATTTAGATAAATCATTTTTTTTTTCTGAATGGAATACTTTTTAGGACAAACTACAAAAACGACCCTCTGAGGTAAGGTCTAATTATGTAAATCTTCCTCATGTTTGCGTAATTACGACAATCCCTCCCTGACCGGTGTTTGACCGTTTAAATTTACAGAAAATATATGTTGTCCGTTTTACCCTTATGTTATTTAGAAGAAATAAATGGTCATTGGTCAATTAAGTGAATTTTCATAATCATGCAAACATGGTTTTTTTTTTGTTTTTAATAATTGGACATCAGAGAGTTTCTCGTAATTTTCCCTACCTTTTAATTAAGATTTTTTGGTTTCATTATTCTATTAAGTTGTAATTTCTATTTGTGCAAATAAATATCCTTGTGGACTATGGTGCATTCAGATGAGAGGATTTGATGGAGAAATTTTAAATTGCAATAACAAATTCCTTAAATTTATTTTCATGCTAAATAGAATAAATTAAATATTTATATCTACCATTCAACTATTTTATCACAAGATAAAAAATTATAGTTTCTCATATAAAAAGAACGCAACCAATTTCTTTTAATAATTTCAGTAGAAGATAAATAATTTGGTTTCAAAAGTTTTGTAAGGTGATTTTTTTTGAGAAAATATAACTTTCAAGTCAATGCAATTTATGTTTGGAATTTATAGCTTCGAAATTGAGTTAAAAAGTCCAGAAAAAAAAATTGATTTGACAATTTAAATTTTTATAAAAGTACAACTAAAATTATGAAATTTGCTTTATTATTTTTTTAAACATTGATTCAGTATCAGTTACTAGCAACGTCGTGTACAAAAAAGTATTTCAGAGAATACGAAGATACACCTTAACAAACATCATTTATTGATTACATGAATGCGCACGTTTTTCGTTGACTTAACATGTACATTTTATGTGCATTCATGTGTATTTTCAATGAGTAATATTTTTCGATAGGATCTTCGATTATGCCATTTCTTGGGCAAGGTAATTTTGTGCACACATTCTTCATTTGTTATTTATTTATTTTTATTTTTCTCTAAGTAATGTGTTAAACTTATATATTGGCACTAATAAATAATTATAGTTTGTTCATCCAGTAATTGTTGATTTGACCGTAGTTTCATATGTTAATATATCAAGATTCAAATTAATGTGCAAGAGTGGTGCTATGATCAATCAGCACTCATGGAGTTGGTTATGACTTTTCGGTTTGGATGATGTTTCCAACATTGTTAGTTTATATTTATGTATATCTTTTGTGATAAAATGATATACAAATTTGTCATTTTTTGTTCGATTGTTTTCAATTTAAATCCTCCATATTTTTTAGGTCGTTGGTTTTTAGACTAATGCATTTTGATCTTCGAAGTACTAGTTAATTTTACATCCATATTTCTCATTTAATTTAGTTATTTTTTAAGCAATTGAGGTAGATTTCAGATTTCTTACAATATATGAATCTATATTTATTCCAAATCATTTTCATTCAAATTTATATTAAATCTATTCATTTAATCCTAGGGAAATATTTAAATTTTTATTTAAAATGTACTTGAAATTAAATTGAATAGGATAATAATTAATAATAATAGAATAAAAATAAAAGTAAAAAAAAATCATAATTTCCATAATACAACTTTTTTTATTTTTTTATTATTTATTATAATATGAAAAAAATGGGAGACGAAGAATAAATCAGCCAAGGCGGATAAAGTAGTGCATACTTCGTCGGCATCGCTGCCTTTTCTACCATTCATCTCAAAACTGTTTATCTTGCAGGCATTAATTCAAACACCTTGTTCGTCAATTATGATAGCATGTTTCTCGCTGGGCACCGTCGACATTTTACCGGCGAGGAATATTCCGGCGAGCTCCCGACCAAGCTTCACTTCTCAAGACGCACTCATATTTCTCCAGAGATGCGCCACTTTCAAGCAGATGAAGCAAATCCACGCCAAAATCATCCGAAACAGCCTCGACCAGCACCAAGTGGTTGTCGCGAAATTGATCCGCCTCTGTTCTTCGTACGGGGAGCCGGATTACGCCGCCTCGGTGTTTGAGCAGATCGATAACCCGTCGACGTTCGCCTGGAATTTGCTCATCAGAGCGTACACTGTGAATAACTGCTCGAATCGAGCTATTCTTTTGTTCAATTTAATGATTTGCCGCGGTGTGTGCGTGGATAAATTCACGTTTCCGTTTGTGATGAAGTCGTGTTTGGATTGTTGCTCTGTGGAGAAGGCGAAGGAGGTGTATGGGTTTGCTGTTAGAACGGGTTTCGTTGGAGATGTGTACTTGGATAATGTTTTGCTGGATTTGTATTTCAAATGTGGGGTTTTGGATGATGGGCTGAAACTGTTCGATAAAATGCGGTTTAGAACTGTGTTTTCTTGGACAACGGTGATCTCGGGGCTTGTTCTTAATGGGCGAATCGATGCGGCGCAGCAACTGTTCGACGAAATGCCGGACAGAAATGTGGTTTCTTGGAGTGCAATGATTAAGGGCTATGCCGAAAGCGAGACACCGGAAAAGGCTTTCGAATTGTTCGTAGAAATGCAGCACGATGATGCAAAGCCGAACGAGTACACATTGGTCGGTCTTCTGAAAGCTTGTATTAAATTGGAAAGCCTTAAATTGGGGTGTTGGATTCACGATTTCGCAATCAAGAACGGGTTCGAGATTAGTGTTTTCCTCGGGACAGCTTTGATCGATATGTATAGCAAATGTGGTAGTTTGGAGTATGCGTTGCGGGTTTTTGAAGAGATGGAAGTTAAGAATGTGGCGACGTGGAATGTAATGATATCAAGTCTTGGCGTTCACGGGCATAGCCAGGAAGCACTTGCGCTTTTCGAGGAGATGGAGAAGATGAACGTAAAGCCCGATGCAATTACTTTTGCGGGAATCTTAAATGCTTGTCTGCAGACGGACAACGTTGAGAAGGTTCGCGAGTACTTCAATCACATGATCGAATATCATGGTATCGAGCCCGGCTTCGAGCATTATGTTTGCTTATTGGATATGTACTCTCGTACAACCGAGTTGTACGAATGAAGCAAAGTCGTTAGTTTTTCTCATCTTGTAAACGCTCAAGACATTTGCACATAGAGCAAGTTAATATGAAATGATATGGGATCAATTTTTTCTGAATAACCAAGCCAGCTGTAGAGTAATTTGAAATAGGAACAAGTGTGTGAGTTCGTCTTTTGATTGGCTATATACCGGGATACAAACATCGTCATTTTTCATCAGCGGGTCAAATGCAAGCCACGGGCAAATTGAAAAAAACGAAGAGAAGTACGACTACTCGATCAAGACAGATAAATAGTTGGTACATCTTGTATAGTGCTGAGAAGAAAAAAACCATGTCAGCTTGTATAATATATTTCCGTCAGTAAATTTACACTTAGCTATTAAATCGACTATCGTATAAAAGATTTACAGCCATTGATTAGAACAAAACAAATGGTAACTTTTTTTTTTCGGTTTATATCTACGATACATATATATGTGTATAATGGATTTGTGTGAGCAAATAGCCAATGCTCCTCTGTTTACAAAAGTGTATCTCGGATTATGCGTGCCATAATTCTTGAGGATAACCGACTGAGCAACTCAGGGAGCACCTTTGCCGAGAGTCCAGGCAATACCGGGAGTAGCTCTTGGATCACTTGAGGTACATTTACACCCCCCTGTGGAAGCAGAATCTGTTAGATGTTGTGATAATTTTCTTATCGAATGAGAAGGGCATAATAATAATAAACAAAAGTATCGTGAAAGCAAGATTTGAAAATTTAGGTACAATTATAGCAGATGCATTCTTCGTCTCTTTGTGAAAATCGTACATTTAATAAACAAATTAATGTTAAAGCAAGGCTTGGAAATGGATATATGCATGGGAAGAGCGTTAATTCTACCTGAAATTTCCCGAATTTCTTGCATAGTTTCTAAAAATCTCAATTTATATTTGGGTAAATCACGGCCACCCCTGAGGTATGGCTAAATTACGAAAAAAATCCCTCTTGTTTGGGTAATTACAGCCACCCCCCTCTTTTTACATATTTTTACATAAAATTTATGTAATTCGGTTATTTACCTAACCAAATCGTATATTTAGTTCGGTAAATGGTATGAAATGTTGGGGTACCGAAAATTCGGTTCAATTTTACTGATTTGACATCCCTAAATTTACCTCTGGATGGATTTTTTCGTAAGATAATACATAGTTGAGGGGTTGGCTGTAATTACCCAAACAGAAGGGGGGCTTTCGTAATTTGACCATAACTCAAGGGGGTGGCCGTAATTTGCCCTTTATATTTACTCGAACTCCCTCTTAACCATCACCGGATCATATTTTTCTTAGATAAATCTTTTCACTATCGACTTAACACATTATAATTTTTTTTTTCTCAGAAACAGATGCCATGTAAAAAAGAAATAATATTAATTTAGACTGAGATGCAAACAACGAGAACTTTATAGTTACCTTGTCTGATGAAGCTGCACTACCAGCAGCTAAGAATCCAACAATTTTCTGGACATTGTTCAATATAATTCTGTCTTCCTCAGTTACTGTCGGAAGAAGTGCGGCTGTCCTAATTGGCCCCAAAGTAGGAACAAAGCCGAAAACCGGTGTTACGTTTCTAATTCCAACAAATGCCAATATCTGCACCAACTGTTCCCTCGAGACGGCATCTATTCCCTTCACAATCTGTTTCATACCAAAATAATATTACTCAAAATATTTGAGTGCTTCTAGACATTAATTAAATATTTAACAAACATTAGATATACCTCGTCTAAAAGAAACTCTCTGAAAAAGTTTCCCTTATCGGACAGTATAAACCCTAAGGCTGCTCTTGTTTGAATTGGCTGTGTTAGAGAGGTACTTCCTCCGCCGAAAGAGGGAAGTAAATTATTATTATTATTATTTTGATTTTGTAGAATTCCGAGCTCTGCCATTCTTCCATTAAGATCTTCGCCACCTCCGCTCTTTGCTGCGTCTATGAAACTCTCGAAAGCTTGCATCACATCTATAAATCTTTCGGCATCAAAGATTCCGGATTTGCCGTATATTGTGTAGCGTAATGCGGACCTTAGTCGTGGCGATTCATCAGTAAGCAGCCTCTAATATCCACAAAAAAAAAAAAAGAAAAAACATAAAAAAATAGAGCATTTGTTAACTTTTTCTAGCAACAGCTTCGGAAAATTATTTACGCGTAAAAATGAAAAAAAAGCACAGGTGGAATCTTGAATTTCGACATGCTTAATACGTAGATGTAAATCAACTAAGGCCTCGTTTGCTTACCTATATTGGATTAAATCGGATTAGATTAGATTGGATTAAATCCCTACTGGTAAACTAATTAATTAGTTAATAATATGTTTGGTTCTTTAGATTACATGTTGTACTAAATTTGTTAAATTCTATTATTATATGTCAATTATATATAAAGTCTTTTATTTAATAAAATTAAATTATTATTTTAAGGTTAAACTAGTAATTTTCCGCTTAGTCACCCCCTACAAAATTAATCGCAGGGGGAGGGGTGTTGCTAATTTCATGACGTAGTAGCACTTAATTGCGGGCTTCAACTTTAGTAGTGCGCTTAAGTAATGTTGAATCCTACCAACCAAACATCTTATTAACTCCTACTGTTTAGTTAATCTAACCTAATAGCAACAAGCAAACGAGGCCTTAGACTTTTGATTACAAATAAGTGTGTCGTATTTATATGTACCTGCGCAATGTATGGATAGGCTTCATCCACAATAGCGAAATCAGAGTTGCCGACCAAAGCTATGCCCTCAAGCACCCCGATTGCTCTAATTATAAGCGCAAAATAAGGAGGTATTCTAAACGGATAATCGAACGTAATTTGTGCCAAATCCGACGCCAATTCTTGAAAATTGATATTTTTCGCACCCCCGCCTTCAAGCGCCTGATCGAAAACCTTGGCCAACACAGGCAAAATAGGATCTAAATTAACCCCATCCGGAATAAAACCAAGTTTGACAAAATCTTTCACAATCGCAGCATAGTCTCGGTGAATTAGGTGAGCTATAGCTTCAATCATTCCGTATTTCTGATCATCCGTCAATTTTGTCACCAAACCTGCCATTTTAATGATAAATAAAATAAAAATTACGATATAACCTAATTCTATTCAAGAAGCTAGACTGATAAATAATTACCGAAATCAAGAATAGCGAGTTTCCCATCGGGAGTTCGTATTAAATTTCCTGGATGTGGATCAGCGTGGAAGAAACCCGTATCGAGAAGCTGTAGATTTAAATTGAAATTGAGTAAGATAAACTAATTTATATATAATTTCACGGCATTAATCATGTATTTGTTAAGAAACTAATCAAATATCGAGAGTTAAATTACCTGCTTAAGGTAGCATATAACTCCAACATTTACGAGTTCTCCAACATCACTTTCGGTACTTTGTGACAGCTTCTCTCCATCTATCCATTGCGTTGTAAGAACTTTCCTCGCAGTGTATTTTTGGTACGTCTTCGGTACAACTACCTATAGACCAGAAATTTATAAAAATAAAAACAGTATATTATCATATTTTAAATTAAAGAAATTTTGTTTTTAGCGTAACGTAACACCAAAATTACCTGGGGAAGGTCCTTCTTCATTTGTTCAGCAAATAATGTCCCATTTTCCCCCTCATTGATATAATCAAGCTCCTCAAAAAAACGAGCCGCCCATTCATCGACCAATCCAACAACATCAACAGAAACCTGAAGGAAATCGAACCACAATTATTATGATCATCTCTTCCAAAATAATATATAAAGAAAAAAGAAAGTACCAAACAGTACCTGAGGAAATTTACGAAGAACAAGACCTAAATTCCTTATGATAAACAAATCAACAGTCACAGTCTCGAGAACGAAAGGCCTCTGTACTTTCACAGCCACCAATTCCCCGTTTTCTTTCAACCGGCCCTTGTACACCTGGCCGAGGGATGCTGCAAATTAATTTCCATATCAATTTTCTGTTCTTTTATACGTAAAAAAGTAAAAAAAAAATATTAAAAATTAAATCCATTGAGATTACCAGCGGCAATAGGAGAAGTAGAAAGTTCAGAATAGACTTCAGACCACGGTTGTCCAAGCTCCTCTTCAAGAAGAGCCATTGCCACATCATCTGGAAACGACGGAACCTAAAAAAAATGTAACGAGATTAAGAAGTTAATCATCGGAAAGCGAAGATTTAACACAAATATATATTCCACTGAAATTTAATTCAAGAAGATAAAAAGAAAAATATAAACTTATCACCTTATCACAAAGCTTCTGAAGTTCAACCATGGCAGAAGGAGAGAGTATATCAGGTCGGATGCTCAATGCTTGCCCGAGTTTTATGTACGCTGGACCTAAAGAAGTAACTATTTCCCTCAATTCAATAGCTCGACGAACCTCGTTCTGTGTATAAAAATAAAGAATGAAAAATTGGGTTGTAGCAAATACGAAAACAGAAACAAATGCATAGTGGCAAATTTTGAAGGGAAGAAAGACAGTGGTGAAAAACTAACCTCTTTTATTTTATTATTAATTAAATCCCATACGAGACGAGAGAGAAAGCCACCAGCTACAGAAGTTAACTGAACAATACGAGTGGCTACAGCGCGTGGCCTTTTGCCCCAATAAGAAGCAATTGTATCGGGATCATACACCATTGGTAAAAACTCGCTGCTCTCATCCATCTGAAAGAGCAGAAAGATACACGTCAGAGAGAGAGAGAGAGAGAGAGAATCCAATAAGGCAATCGAACAATAACAATGAAATGAACGAGACTAACCTCAACTAGACGGAGCTGGACATTATCCTCGGCAAATAAAGAGTCCTTCAAATTCTGACCACGAAGACCTCTCATAAGGATAGCCAAATCCTCGTTTTCTTCCATTTGTGCCCTAACCCTTTTGATCTCTTTCGAAACATCTTGAATTCTCTGTTATTTGCACATAGACAGATGAAATCTTACAGAGATGTGATCTTAATTTTCAAGTACTTATTCATAACATTAAATTATTTCTAAAAAAAAAACTACTCTTTTTCACACTCTTCAGTTACACTAGGAGAAAATAATTTATGTAAATTTCGCTTTCTTATTCACCATTTGCTGCTTCACTTTCTAATTAACAAAACTGAAAGCACAAATTAGTAAGTAAAATTCCATAATTCAGATCGACGAAAAAGAGTTAACCCCTGAAATGAAATTAGCACTCTGAAATTCTCCATTCACCATCACTAGCACAATAAAATTTCCAAAAAAAAAAATTGAAAAAAAATGTAAACAACTTAAAAAATAAAATAAAACGAAAATTAAAAAGTAGGAAAAGAAGAAGTTCATCAAAACCTACAGTGGGAGTGCCGTTGACCGATTTGTAAGACGACGCCGTTTTGGGGGAACCGTTAACCTCCTTCGTCGGCTTAGTATCCGACGGCCTAGGTTCGGTGGCGATGGCCTTCACAACCGCGTTCCGCTTAATTCTCGGAAAAAATCGGCGGTTTCCGGCGGTCGAGGAAAACGGCGACGTACGGTACAGAGGATACATTCCGCAGTAGACGAGCTGCGCAGCTGCGTCCATGGCGGAAACTCTTCGAGGAAAAAAAATTAAATAAATTCGAAAAATCCACTTCCCCCCTGGACGCGCGTGTGTGCGCGTGTACGGAGGGTTTGAACTCTGAAGTAGAAGCGCAAATGGTGGAGGAAAAAAAAGAAAGAGAATCTCTGTGTGTGTTGTGCGTGTTTTTTAATTTATTTATTTTTTGATGAACTTTATTTGCTGACAGTGTGCGATTACTAAATGAGTAGGGGTTGGGTGGGTGGGGGTGGGGTGGGGTGGGGGTAGGGGTGGATTGGTGGTTGAGCGGACACGTGGACGAATGTGGAGCGAAGGAAAAAATAAATTAATGAGCTTTCGGTTATATACTTATATTGTCGCGATTCTGAGTGGAGCTTCGTCGCCGTTCATTTTCTTTAGGGTAAATTACAATCGACCCTTAAAGTAAAGTCTATTTACGATAAAATATTTTACTATTCCATAATTAGATTTATATTAGCATTTTGTAGATTTATTACACTAACACCCTTTTGTAGGGGGTTGGATGTACGAAATTTACAAATTGAAGGGGCTGAATGTAATTTCTAATAAAATAGGGATTTTTCTCTTAAATAGACTTTACCTCACTTTTTATGTACCTCTTAAGGCATTTTGTTTTTTTGCTTGGTTTCAAATTTTCCTAGTTGAATTTAATAATAAATAGGTATTTTGAATAATAGTGCTTGATGTTTTCTAGTATTCTATTTGGCACATAACATATTGATAGTTTATTTTGTAGAAAATATTTCATATGGATTTTAAATGCAGAAGTTCATTTATAAATTAATATTAGTATTTTGGTACAATATATTTGAATTGAAGATATTGGGGAGGCTTAATCCCACTTTCCATCCTTGAAAGACAATAATAACACTTTTGCCCCCTCAAAACGGAATAAACCATTCACAATGCACCTTAAGTGAATAATAAAGGATAATTCATTTTTTATTGGTTTTTTTTTTCTTTCGGGGTGCAAAATAACAAATTAAATTGTTTATTTCTTCAACATCCAACCTAATTTCGAGCGCACAAAGTGCGAAAAAATAAAATCACACCGGATAATTGAAATAAATAATTATATTTCTTTCAAAATAAAATCAAACAAACTTTTATCACTAAGTTATTCGATTGATTGATCTTTTATTGTAATTGGTGAAAATATTAGATTGAAATATTTGGAAGAAATATGATTTTCAGACGAAATAGATGAATGTTTTTTTTTTTTTTTTGTAAAATAGTTTTTGTGATAAAATATATAATTTTTAAATGCCACTAAAAATACTAAATTACATTTATTAGCTTTAAAAATTCATATTCATATTGGGGTGCATTATGCATAATATATGTGTTTCGAAGGTGGAAATTGCTATTAATTTATTTTAAAAGTGCAAAGTGCCAAAATGATATATTTTAAGGGTGCATAGTTGGATTAAGCCATTGCGGAAGATTTAAAATGAGCCAGTGAGTGGTAGATTTTAAATGAATTGCAATAATTCAAAAAATAATACAAATTGAGATTAAGAATTTAGTTTTATGTATTAAAAAATAATACAAATTGGTAGAATTTTTTTTTTTTTTTTTTTTTTGTTTTTTTTTTTTTTTTTTTTTTTGTTTTTATGAACTACAGACGATAATGTTATGTACAAGAAGGGATACTGTTTTTGTAGGGTAGGATTTTGATACAGAGGTGCCCAAGCTTCGGAGCACCATCGAATGTACTGGAACGATCAAGGAACCTGCTCAATCAGTGTGTTTTTGGAAGATTGCAAATCAGCCCCTGACTTAAGGAAGAAGAGGACCTTTCTGAAACTTAAAGGCACTGAATTGAAAAAATTGAAAACTTTATTTAGGGCTATGTTTTAAGTTTATAATGTAAATGGTATTTGGGTTTTCTGAGTGAGCTTTGTCGCCGTTCATTTTCTTTAGGGTAAATTACAATCGACCCTTGAAGTAAGGTCTATTTACGATAAAATCTCTTATTATTCCATAATTACATCTATACTTGCAATTCGTAGATTTATTACACTAACACCCTTTTGTAGGGGGTTGGATGTTGAAATTTACAAACTCAAGGGGTAGAATGTACGAAATTTACAAACTGAAGGGGCTGAATGTAAGGATTTTCTTATAAATAGCTTTTATCTCAGGGAGGTGGTTGTAATTTACCCTTTCTTTTTATGTGCATTTTGTTTATTTCTTTGTATGTAGATGTGTTTTTTTTGCTTGGCTTCAAAATTTCCTAGTTGAATTTAATAAAGGGATTTTTATGCATAAATTCCTGACCAACCATCTTTATTATTTTATGTTTAGGGGTTAATTTATATTTTTTTCGTCAATAAGTCCATCCGTTTAATATATATTATAGATAAATGAAAAATAATGTATATGACAAAATTACCCCCAACTCTTTATACCCAGTTTTAATTGTAACCCCAATTTAATCAATTTTGATCACAAAAATTCAATTTTGACTTTTTTTAAAACCTTTTTCTTTCTATTATTTTTTTTGTCACCGGTCTCTGGCGTTAACTTTTAAAAAAAAAATTCGGGTGTGTTTTTTTCGCCGCCGGTTTCCGACGTTGACTTTATTTTAGTGATTTTTTTCTAGTCCTAAAATTTTTATCCTTTTTTTTAATGCTTGCCGCTAAACGTTGACTATAATTACTCCCATTAACAGTAATTATACTGCCACTGACAGTACATTAACGTAATTATACTGTCGTTAACAGTAGATTAACATAATTGTACTGTCATTGACAGTACATTTATGTAATTGTACTGTCGTTGACAATACAATTAGAGTTAACGACATTATTATTTTTTTTTTGGGTTTTTTTTTTGTTTGATTTGTTGACAAGTCAACGTATTTATATTACTGTCGTTGACAGTAAAATAACTGTAAACACAATAATATTCTTGTCACCCACATCAATATTATTATCTTTTTGGGTTATTTGTTTTGTTCGAGTTGTTGAAGGATTATAATAATATTACTGTATACTATTGTAATTTTACAGTAAACACAATAATATTATTGTGGTTGACGATAATAATACTGTTGTTAAAGTAATATTACTGTCAACCACATCAATATTAATTATTTTGGCTTTTTATTATGTTTACCTTTGTTGAACAGTCAACATATTAATATTACTCTATTACAAAATAATAATGACTTTTGTTGTGTTAATATTACTGTGCTAAAGATTAATATAGCAATATTACTGTGTTAAACTGTAATATATGTAATATTACTGTGTTTAACAGTAATATAGTTAATATTACTGCCAACCACAACAATATTGTTGTTTAGAGGGGGGGGGGGGCAAAAAGATGTTAAACAAAAAATAAACAACAAAAAAGTCACCGCCGGAGACCGGCGTTGACTGCCGTGCCGATCAATGCCGCAAACCGGCGGCGGGAAAATCAGGAAGAAAAAAAAAATTAATGCGGGAAACCGGCGGTCAACGGCGGCGATGGACGAAATTGTCCATAAAATTGTGTTTTGGATCAAAATTGAATAATTTGTGAAATTTATGGTCAAATTTAGGTTATATTGAATTAAAGGATGAAATTGGAGCATATTAAAATGTGAGGGACTATTTTAGTCTTTTACAACCCTCTGAACAATGTGTGGATTTTTTTGTAAACGAAATTTTTGTCTATACCCATTTATGAATAAATACCCATTGTTGTGCTTATTGTTAAGTGCCCTTTAATAAATAGGTATTTGAACATTAAAGCTTGAGGTTTTCTAATATTCTATTTGGCACATGACATAACATTGTCAGTTTTTTTTTAGAAAATATTTCATATGGACTTTTAAATACTCAAGTTCATTTATAAATTAGTGTTAGTGTTTTGTTAGAGTATATTTGATTTGAGGAATTTGAATTTTATGGAAGACATTGGGGAATATTTCAAATGAGGAAGTAAGTGGTAGATTTAAATGAATTTAAATAATTTAAAAATTAGTACAAATTGAGATATATAAGAATTTAAAGATTATTATGAAATAAATACACCCACACAAACTCAATTAAATTATTGTTAGAGATTTGAATATCATTGAAAAAAAAATTAACAAGAAAGGGAGTTAGATACGTTTTTACACTTTTTCATTGTTGTTGTTATATTACAAAGGGAAACAATCGAGGGGAAAGGATTATTTGGCTATTTTCAATTTCGTTAATCATTGTCGATCTTTAAGTAAAATAGATGGTACATGACGGAGTTTGTGATAATCTTGTCCTGGTTGACCGTTCACCTCTTCACGTAATCTGTCGTTGAACTCTTTGGCCATATACGTTTCTAATTCTTGAAGGGTAGTGATGAATTGCAATCCATCGGGAATCATTTCCAATCCGTCGCAAGAATAAATCCGCAAACGAGAAAGATTGGGCATTGCTCCTTTATCCACCACCCATCTCTCTAAATTATGTAACTCAGTGAGGGTAAGATACTTGAGTTGTGGAAATGAAGTTGCAAGGCATTTCATTTCTCTGTTGAGGAATACTGTAGCGTACAACGTGAGCTTTTTTAACGTGGGGAATTGCCCTAGTATTTCCATCAAATCATCCCTTTCAGTTCTACCACGACCCCGAAGTGTGAAGTTAACCAAATTTGTACACATACCTCGTTGATATCTTGGGAAAATAAAATTTATAAAGCTTGTCGAGAGTACCAAAGTGGTGAGTGAAGGAGACATCAACATATTCTTTAAATTATTATTATTATTATTATTTGATGGTTCCTCCGAATTGAAATCGCATCGAGAAATTTGAAGATGTGCCTCACGTAGAAGGATGTTTTCGCTGCTCATGTAATTGGCAATGATCGAGAGTTCATCTTTACCACTAACATCGGTTTTCAGATATCTTAAATTTGTCAATCTGGGGATATCTGAAATGTGAACACACGAAGTAAATGACTCATCATGTAATGTCTCAAACTCCTCTAGACCATTCAAAATTAGTTTGTCTCCGTAATCTCCGATGACTTGTATCTGGTTGAGGAATAGATGCTTCAATCTTTTCATCTTAAAAATCACATTCGACACGTTTATAAAATTCAACATCATCCTCAAATCTAACGTTTGTAGATATGTCAAGTTCGTAATCGACAATGGTAGCTCTACCACAATGCTCCCAAACAAACTCAAATATCTCAGATGAATTAGCTTACCAACCTCTTTAGATAATACAAATTCACCACTTTCCAGTGCGAGAGTTCTGAGGCGTTTCAACTTATTGAAATCGGTTCCACAACCCTTAGAACCAATTTTCAACACTACATTGGACCATCCTTCATTGACGAGTAGAAGAGATCTCAGGTTCTTCACGACTCCTCGCCTGTTGAAATACTCATCTGAATGATCTCGATTATAATGGATTGCTAATCTACTTGCAGTGTCAACACAAGTGCTATCATATTTTGCTTGTTGTTTGCAGAGATCAACGAGCTTGAGAAACCCTTTTTCTTGTCCCTTTGATAAACAAAGATCACGCATCAAATCATGAAGCCGACATGATGTGAATTTATTATAAGCACTGGAATACTCATCCTTTTGTACTTGAACCATACACCGAGATGCTAGTTCACTCAAATAACGTTCAGCCACATCCCTCAAAGTTTCGTTTTTGCCCTTTTCTTCATAAGGGATTAGGCTGTCCGCCATCCACAATAGATACAATCTTCCTGCATCTATTTCTTCATCCTCGGGGAAACATCCTAAATAGAGAAAGCACGGCTTTAAATTATAAGGTAAGGCATTGTAGCTCAAGTCCAATACTTGTTTCACCTTTTCATTCCCACGCTTCAAATATGAATCAACGTCTTCATTGACCTTCTGCCACTCGCTCGGTGTACTTTTTTCGCGCAAAATACCTCCAAGAACTGTAATTGCCAATGGCAGACGGCCACATTTTTGGACCATTTGTCTTCCTATAGCTTCCAATACTGAACTTTGCTTAGTGTTGAGCTCTATACGAAGATATATATATATATATATATATATATATATATATTCAAGGTTAATTTGAGATCAAACCGCCAAAGTGCATTGTTAAACAATTATTTTGACTTCACATCCATGCAAATCATTGTACAGTAAAATGAATAATTCTATGGCAGTTACTCAAATCAATTTAAATAAATAAAAGTCTAATGCATGCGCTTATTGTAAACACAAAACTATCTAGCACAAAACAACGAGTTACAACTAGTTAACATCATTAATCAAAGCTATTACAAGTCCTCCAAGATTGTAATAGAACAAGTTAACTTACATATATTTACTCATGTAGATTATTTTCAAACTTTTGATGAAAAATATTTTCTAGTGTTTCTGTTTCACTCACAAGAAGTTAATATATGTATCAATCAAGTAAGTCAAATGATCCCGTTGCATTCACTAATCGAAAAACATAACAAAAAAGATGGCTAAAAAACTAAATTCAACTGACATTAAGCCTTAAAAAGTGATTTCCATAAGAAGTGATTTCCATGTTTAAGGTGTGAAAACAAGGACCAAAATATTAATCTGAATTTTATAGGGACGTAAATCAAACAAGTGGTATAGTATAGAGACAAAATTGTAATTATCCCGAAAATCATGTAGCAACCATGCAAGATATCAAATGTTTTTTATGTCACAAAATTGATGCCAAGGTTTCGTGTATAGTTAAATATTTATGGACAACAAGATATATGGCAGAAACTGACCTCTTGGAAGTGCTATTTTTTGAAGTAACTCCCAACCTTGATCTTTAGTTAGACAATGGAGTTTGTACAAACATTCTCTAGGACCAACTGTTTCGTAACGAGTGGTCAGCAAAATTTTACATTGACCGTTCTCCATCGCAAAAGCCCGCTCTAAGATGCTCCAGTGATCGCTCTCCCATATATCATCAATCACAACGAAACATTTTTTCTGCATCTGAACATCGTGAAGTTTGTCCACCAATTCAGAATATTCCATGTTGCTGATTTGTTCCTTCTCCTCATCAGGAAGGAGTTGCTTCAGAATTTGTCTTAAAACAACGGTAGCTTGAAATTGTTGTGTAACACAGACCCACGCACGAGCTTTGCCAAAAACACGTATCACATCTTCGTGGTGGTAAATTTTCCTGGCAAGAGTGGTCTTACCAAGGCCTCCCATTCCATAAATCGAAATCACGGGGTTCGATTTATCCTTCACGAGTGATACCAGAGACTCTATGTCCTTTTCCATGCCAACAAAATGTTGTTTGACTACGTGTTTGAAAGTTATTCTCAACAAATGTTGTTGATCCTCTCTTGAACTAGAGGAGCTCCCCCATGGGGCCATCACTTGCAACTTCCCAGTGAGAACGGTCAGGCTGGATCTAATGGCTTCGATCTCTTCCCCGATTTGATGGACCGTTGAGCACTCACCCAATATGCAACTAAATCTTTTGACCTTTTCGATCAGGTTTCCACCTCTTCTTCTGGATGTGACTTCAACAGCATATTTTTCAAGCACATACTCAGCTCTTGAAGCCAGTTCGTTGAGTTGAGCGGTCCAATCGCGTAAAATGGCAGTTTTGTGTTTGTCTTGCCATTTGTCAGCATCCATCAAGATGCAATGGATGGTATTCAGCTCCCTCTCGACTTTCTCAACTGCATCGCTTACACCATATAAAAATCTGGTTTCTTCGACAAGCAAATCCCGAATTGTTTGCAAACACACTTGAATAGCAGGACTAGCCATTAACTTAGTATCCGAAAATGGTATATGAATTTATGAATCTATCAGGTTTTTGAATTTATATATATATATCTCGAAAAAAACTATTTGTCAACTTTAATTATATCAATACACATAACATTTATGCTTGATGTCATCCACTAAATGTTATAATTCTCAACAATTGGCATTTTTCTAGTATTTCATCCACTCTAATTATTGATAGTTTTTTATTGCACAAATTGGCTGGGCATCTCCTAGCATTGATAAAGTCTTACCTAAGTTTACCAATAAAAAAGTTAGTGGAATCTTGAATCAATGTAGTGTATTACATCCTTGCCATAATATGAATTTGACTTTGTTAACAATACAATTAATTGATTGTTCATAATTAGTATTTTAATCTCGTTTTGACATCTTCTCTATCTAAACAATTATAATAAAAGAAATAAATAAAGAATCACCACAGAACATGGAAACAACACAACATAAATTGTAAGCTTACGTCTGTCGTGTGACCAACACCAGCATCGAAGAAAAGCATAATCATATATTGAATGAGTTTACAATTATTGGTAAACCTCTATAAATTAATACAGTCATTATTAAATTATTAAGTTAATTATTATTATATGGTTTATATATCTGGATTACACACCTGAAATTCACTATACTCTTATCACGTGTGAAGTACGTGAGTTTAAGTTGCTTACCGAGCTATCCTAGTCAGCCATGTGGTTTGTTACACTTGAGCTGATTTGATTGGTGGAAGGAATGTATGGCTCTCGTGAGTTGCTTGGGGAGAAAGTTCTCTATATATATCACAGAGGCATTAAGGAGTGAGGGAGAGGCAATACTGGGATACACATAGTGAAGAGAGAAACACTTGTGAGAGGGGTTTTAAGGGTTTCTGGCAGATCTCATGCTTGTTTATAGCTGAGATTATCATCTCTTATATTGTATCTGTATTGATCTGGTTTTATAGTGAATTGGAGCTTGTATTGCTCTCGGGGATGTAGATCTCACATTGAGATTGAACCTCGTAAAATCCTCTTGTTATTCTTCTTTATTTGTTAGCTGCTTGTGTGTGTTTGCTGTGTGAGTTTTCAGAGTGAATCTGATTTTATCTCTAGCTTGAGTAATTCAACTTGCTGAGCTTCACAATTCACAACAAGTGGTGCGGTGAGCGTGGATCGAAGTGGAGCTGGGCAATTCTATCTACACAAATTCAGATCTACAACTGAATTCTGAAGAGGTACACATCTGACTTAGATCTATCGGAGATGAGTAATTCTAAGTTTGAATTTGAAAAATTCAATGGTGATAATGATTATACTCTCTGGAGAATTAAGATGAAAGCCTTATTGGTTCATCAAGGACTTTCTGTTGCTCTAGATGCAAAACTATTAGCTGCTTTAGAGGATAAGAAGACAGTGCCAGAAATTCAATCTAAGGCACATAGTGCACTGATTTTAAGTCTAGGTGATGAAGTACTTCGTGAAGTCTCTGAAGAAACAACAACTCTAGCTATATGGGAAAAACTTGAGTCTATATACATGAAGAAATCCCTTGCTAACAGGTTGTATCTAAAGAAGAAACTCTATACCCTTCAAATGGAGGCAGGACATGAAATTATGAAGCATGTAGATGAGTATAATAGGTTATACTAAACCTACATGCTGTTGGAGTCAAAATTGAAGAGGAGGATCAGACTATTATCCTATTAAGTTCACTTCCAAAGGATTAGGAGCATATTGTATACACTATGCTTTATGGAAAGGATACTCTTACAATGACAGAAGTTAAATCTGTGTTAAATTCTAAAGAGCTTCAAGAAAAGGAATGAATCAAGCTCTAATGGAAGTGGTGAAGGGCTTAATGTAAGAGGAAGACCTGACAAAAAGGAGTTTAGAAGAATAGAGGAAAGTCAAGGTCTAAGTCAAGACCACATGGAAAGGACACCAGAAGATGTCATAAGTGTAAGAAGGAAGGACATATGAGAAGATTATGTCTTGAGAGAACTCAGAAGAATAAGAGTGAATCAAGCCAAGGTGACAAGGGAGATGCATCTACTGTATCAGATGGATATGACTCTGCTGAGGTACTGTTTGCTTCATACTCTGATTCACCTGAGGCACTTGTTGCATCACACCTCAATTCAGCTGGAGAGTGGGTGTTGGACTCTGGATGTTCATTCCATATGACTCCCAACAAAGAATGGTTTCAGGAGCTCAAGGAATCTGAGAAAGGAATGGTGCTTTTGGGAGATGATAAAGCATGCAAAATTCTTGGGATTGGAGCTGTTAACCTGAAACTAGCCTCTGGACAAAGGAAACAGGTAAATGGAATGAGATATGTTCATGCTCTTAAGAGGAACCTCATTTCCATTGGTATGCTTGATCAAGCAGGGTATGAGATGAGAGCCAAGAATGGAGTTATGAGAATATTGAAGGGTGCTCTAGTGGTCATGAAGGGCTTACTGAGGAATGAAATTTACATATTAGATGGAACCACAACTGTTGATACATCAAATGTTGCAGTTCAAGACAAGACCTCATTATAGCATAGAAAGTTGGCACACATGAGTGAAATAGGACTCCAAGAACTAGTAAAACAGAAACTTCTTGAAGCAAATGACATTGAAGAACTGAAGTTCTGTGAGAACTGTATTCTTGGGAAAGCCAAGAGAGTAAAATTTGGAAAAGCTCAACACTCAACTCATGACAATCTGAGTTACATACACTCAGATATGTGGGGTCCTGCAAGAACTGAGACCATGGGAGGTTGCAGATATTTTTTGACTTTAATTGATGATAGGTCAAGGAAGTTGTGGGTCCACATCTTAAAAATAAAAGATGAAGCATTTCCAGTGTTCAAAACCTGGAAACAAAAAGTGGAGACTCACTCAGGAATGAAAATAAAACACTTAAGGACTGATAATGGATTGGAATTTGTGTCAGCAGTTTTCAACAAATTTTGTGATGATTGTGGTATCACAAGACACAGAGATGTTAGAGGAACTCCACAACAGAATGGTCTAGCTGAAAGGATGAATAGAACCATTCTTGAGAAGGTGAGATGTATGCTTCTTAGTTCTAGCTGCTCTAAGAAATTTTGGGGAGAGGCTGTCAAAACTGCATGCCATATAATTAACAGAAGTCCATCATCAGATCTGAACTTCAAGACACCTCCGGAAATATGGACTGGAAAACCACCTTCATATGACCATCTAAAAGTAATTTGGTTGTGCAACATATGCACACTTAAGACAAGACAAACTTGAAGCTAGAGCATTGAAGTGCATTTTCTTGGGATATCCAGAAGGAGTGAAGGGTTACAAATTATGATGTATTGAAGCTGGGAAAGAGAAGTGCATTGTGAGCAGGGATGTCACATTCAATGAAGAAGTGATGCCACTGAAAACTATGGAGTTGTCTTCTGGTGAATCATGTCAGAATAAGACTCAGTTTGAGGTGGAGCTTGAAGATGAGGTAATAAGATATGTGGATGATGATTCAGAAAGTTGCCTTCCCGTTGAGTTTCAGGTCGAGGTTCCTTCTAGAGCTCCAAGTGCTAGGTAAAAAATCTAACTTATTTTGTTTTAGCTTAAAAGTTCCGACTTTTTAGCTTGTTCTTGCTCCTTTTTTTCTTTTGGGCTTTTTCAAATTTATCGACTTGTTGCTTTTTTTTTATCTGTTAGTATTTTGTTTAGATCTGATGCATTATACTTTAATTGCTGTAATTAAATAAAGTCTTGAAATTTAAAAAAAAAATACACAAATTAATTGAGGAATCTGGGGAAGTTAATTTTGGTCTTCAATGGAAGAAGGGATATTCATATATTCCAGAGTTTCTCAATAATTTGAATATTCTTGGCATGATTATATTATTGGTTTATTTATTACACAATAAAATCTGGAAATCACATTCATATTTAAATATAACATTTACTTCTTACCAAATATTAGGCATTTAATAAATTCCATTTTTTTTTATATCCTGGAAATATATAAATGAAGTAATTAATGGAAGAGCTTGCACAATTATTTTACTTCATTTTGAAGTTCAGGTTGGCCAAAGTTATTACTTCATTATATCGGTAGATATATATAACCGAAAACTTTAGTGCACTAGATGAAAAAGTTGATGTGATATTCAATGGCTTGAGTAGCTATTTTTCTCGATTTTAATACGTTTTATGACAAGTTCGTATCTAATTATGCAGTGTGAGTGTATTTGGTGTCTCGGCCGAATCAATGCAGTGCTCTTACGACACGAGGGGCAATAGTGTCCCAACTATTCTACTACTGATGCAAGAACGATTGTACTCACAAGGCGGTCTAAAGGTAAACGAAAAGCGCAACAAGTTATATAATAACTACTCTTCAGCTTCGATTTTTTTAAATTCGGAATATTCTGTTTGCAGTCGAAAGGAATATTCCGGATACATCCGGAGAACAGCAAAGAGGAACACGTGAGGGACCAGCTGAACAGGGGGATAGTTCCACAGGATATAGATGTGCACTGTTTGGCTCGTCTGATTAAAGCTTGGTTTAGAGAGCTACCGTGCGGGATACTTGACGGTTTTCCAGTCCATATTTCCAGTCCATATTTCCACCTCTTCTGGATGTGACTTCAACCGCATACTTTTCAAGTACATACTCAGCTCTTGAAGCCAATTCGTTGAGTTGAGCGGTCCAATCGCGTAAAATGGCAGTTTTGTGTTTGTCTGGCCATTTGTCGGCATCCATCAAGATGCAATGGATGGTATTCAGCTCCCTCTCGACTTTCTCAACTTCATCGTTTACACCATATAAAAATCTGGTTTCTTCAACCAGCAAATCGCGAATTGTTTGCAAACACACTTGAATAGCAGTATTAGCCATTAACTTAGTATCTAAAAATGATATATGAATATAATTTGAATTTATCAGGTTTTTGAATTTATATATATATATATATATATATATATATATATATATATATATATATATATATATATTGAAACTAAACCTCAAAAAACCTATTTGTCAACTTTAATGATACCAATACACATAACATTTATGCTTGATGTCATCCACTAAATGTTATAATTCTCAACAATTGGCCTTTTTCTAGTATTTCATTCACTCTAATTATTGATAGTTTTTTTATTGCACAAATTGGCTGGACATCTCCTAGCATTGATAAAGTCTTGCCTAAGTTTACCAATAAAAAGTTAGTGGAATCTTGAATCAATGTAGTGTATTACATCCCTGCCATAATATGAATTTGACTTTGTTAACAATACAATTAATTGATTGTTCATAATTAGTATTTTAATCTCGTTTTGACATCTTCTCTATCTAAACAATTATAATAAAAGAAATAAATAAAGAATCAACACAGAACATGGAAACAACACAACAAAAATTGTGAGCTTACTTACGTCTGTCGTGTGACCAACACCAACATCGAAGAAAAGCATAATCATATATTGAATGAGTTTACAACTAATGGTAAACCTCTATAAATTAATACAATCGGGATTAGGGAGATTTTATTAATTTAGCGAATTATTAAATTATTAAGTTAATAATTTAACACGTTTTCACTGAGTCGGGACCGAAAAAACTATTATTTTATCGAGGTTATTAATTTATCAGAATATTAATTTATTGAGGTTCTACTGTACCTGTTTTTGGTACTCTTATTATGGGGCTTTCTGACTCTTAATGTTGTGGAAATTACAATAGTTAAAACATTTCAACCATGAATGTAAGAAACATCGTCACAAAAGAAGTCACAATAGCTATGTCATTATTTAATATAGTGATTAAAAAAAATTGATTTTAAAACCAGAAGGAATTATTAGTGACAATAAAAATACTTCACTTAATATATGCATTAATAATTTTTTTATATTGCCAATATAGTTATGCATAAATAAGCCATGTGATGGAGCCCGAAGCTAAGAGGAAAAAATGTTTCTCTCTCTAGAAAAAAATATTCTGCCTTCTATCTATATAGTTGAGACTTTCTGATGAAGATTTTGATCGATTCTAACCGTTTACGTGTTTGTTTATCATTTTTCATTCATACATGGCAGTGACTGAGGCCATGAAGAAGCTATGTGGATGGTTGAGATGATTCAGGAGTTGGGGATTGAGCAGGATAATGTGAATATGTACTGTGACAACCAAAGTACAATTCACTTGACAAAACATCAAATGCTTCATGAGAGGTCTAAACACATTAATGTGAGATTGCACTTTGTGAAGAGACATTGTCTTTAAAGAGCAGATCAAGGTGGAGAAGGTGCATATATATGTGAGAGACATTTTCTCACTAGTTTTTTTTTACTACATTAAATTATTAAAATATGAATTGAATTTATTTTTAGGTGGTGTTTGCCAAAGCTTATTCAAAAGCATAATTTAGTGATTGTGAGTTAAACTATGATTAAGTGCCTATTTCTAAAAGTTAAGGGTGTTTACAAATACCTCAAAAATTAACTTTAAGTAGAAAAAACAGGTTTATGTGTGTTTTTCAAATTACAGCTTAAATCAACTTATTTTAATAGAAGCAAAAGCAAAAACACATTTTGCAAACACCTAAAAACAGATTATGAACAGAAAAAACTCAGAAGCTATGTCAAAAAGCTTTTGCAAATACTACCTTAATATCCTTAAAGCTAAAGAACCTTATAGGCACGTAAATTTCTAATACAAAATTATAGTAATATTAATATTACAACAATATTATACGTAAATATAAATTCAGTATTATATGTAGATATAAATTCAAATAATATTTGATGATGTCTTTTTCTAATTTGAATTAAATAGGGGCTCTTTGACATAACCCTTCTATACTTTTTTTTAGGGCCGGAAAAAAAAAATACCAATTACCATATACTATGGTATTCTAATCAAGAATTACCGAAAATTTACCGAAAGAACGATTACAATTGTATACGGTACAATATTAGTATCGTACCATTATAATATGGTACGGTAGGTATTGTATTTCTAATACCATGGTAATACCGTACCGTACCGTAATTTACATTCTATAATCCGATTAATATATTTTTTTCGATATTATTTTTTTGTAATTCTATTTCTTTTACTTAGAAGCTTATAAGTGGCAACACTTATTTTTATCTTAAGTCAGTGGTAGTGTATTTGTTTTTGTTTTTTTCCGACACCAAGTTGAATTTTTAATTGAACATAAATGTTATGTTAAATTGTTTTTTATGTTCTCAGTTGCCAACTAATTTTATTATATTTGATGTATGAAAATATCTTTTAATGATTTGTAAAATATTTATTGGATGGAATAATTATTAAGTACAATTAAGTTTCTAATAAATACCTAGTTGTTTCATAAGATACAAGGGTAATTAGAACTATTTTCAATTGAATTTATATACTTTTTAACTCATATGTTCTTTAATTTTTGATGCATCACCAAGTACGGTAGAGTACCACGTACCGATTGTACCGTACCGAAAATAACGGTATACCGAACATTGGTATATCAAACTTTTTGGTACGGTAAATGTATGAAATTTTTCAATACCGCAATGTACAGTAGGTATACGGTATTGAGCCAAATATTTGGCAATCATACCGAATCCACCTCTACTTCTTTTACTAGGGAAATACCCAAACTATTTTGCACCATTTGAGAAAAACCCACTCCTAATCTCAGCCACCCATTTTTCCAATTATTTCCTTCCCACCTCATCAGCACTATCCGCCCATCCCGTGTATTTATTTATTTATTTTTAAACTATTATTATTATTATTATTATTATTATTATTATTATTACTATTATTATTATTACTATTATTATTATTATTATTATTATTATTTTATTAAACTTTTTTTTTAATTTTTGTAATTTTTTTTATTTTTTCAATTTTTTTTTCATTTGTTAACTTTTTTTCTCTATCACGTATATTAATCGACTATGAAGCATATTAATTGACAATGATGAAAATCGACTATGATGAATCATAGTCGATTAAGGAATCGACTATTAAAAATAACAAATCACAACTAAAAAAAAATGCAAACTCAACTATATTTTACAAAAAAATATATAAAAACATTATAATTGATTTATACAAAGAAATCAATAAACAATAACTCAAAAAAAAAAAATGGAGTCGATGAAGCATATTAATCGACTATGATGAAGCATAGTCGATTAAGGAACTAACTACTAAAAATAACAAACCACAACTATAAAAAAAATGCAAAATCAATTATATTTTACAAAAACAAAAAAAATATACAAACATTATAATTGATTTATACAACTAGAATCAATAAACAAAAAATTCAACAAAAAAAAATTTAAAAATTGGAGTCGATTAATCTTAATCAACTATCAGTCGATTAGCTTAATCAAATATTGAACGTGTACGTAGTCGATTAATGTTTTAGCCTGCGTGGATTTCTCTACCCGCGTCGTCCTCCGCCTACTCTACCAAAAAACCCTAGATCTGCTCTCTATTGTCACCACACCGCCGCCACAACACACCCTCACCACCTCACTTTGATATTATGACGGTTTTTTTTATTAAAAATAAGTCAATAAAATCACAACTCGCACCACCAACCAAAGCAGAACCACCACCCATCAAAATATGATTTCAGTGACAAATCGACAATTTCATCTCTTTTCGCCGCCGATGTAACAGTCCTTGCATTCGAATTCAGAATCGCTCTCAAAATCATGATCATCTTTATGGCTTCTGTTCAGATCTGCAAAAGTTCCAATTCCATGAAGGGTAGTGAGGGGGAGGAGTAGGATGAGACGTCTCAATAGAGGAATTGAAAGCCAGAGAAGATGAATTAACCCCGACAACGACGACGATGGATTCAACGGGATTGGTGTCGTTGTACATGTGGTGATGTCGGTGGTTGGTTCATCATCTTCCAATCAAGAGAGAATAACCTACATAATTGAGAGATAAAAGTAAAATAGAGAAAGAAAAAAAAAACAGAGAAGAGACGGTAGAAGAGAAAACAAGATTAGGGTTATAGAATGGTATAGTAGATAATTTACGGGTAGTTTTGGAACTATAAAAATAATTTACGGGGTTTTTTGCTAATTTTCCCAATTAAATAAGGTCACTTT